AAACCGGACATCAAATTTTATTCGATAAAACTAAAATTATTCCTTGTAATCAATTCTTCTAAAAACAAAAAATCTGAGAATCTATAGAAATTTATAAGCAAAGTCACCATTATGGGAATCAGTCATCCGAGATGGTGTTTAGTGCCCCTTTAGCTCCGCCCCCTCAAACAATATAAAAGCAGGTACAGAGTAAATTGCGAACCAGTTTCAGTCAAGCTCTGAAGAAGCCAACAGAATGATTAGCGAAAGGAAACTCTCATCGATAACTCTTTTTTCGTTACAATAATGAAAAATGTACTCAATATATACAAGTAAAGCTCCTTCAGAAATAGCATTTTTTTTTAATTACCCACCCCATAGACCCATACGTAGGGTATTGTTTTCGTCGCAGTTCAGAAACATTGCTAACTAACCAGGTTGCTGATTTCATACATTAAAACGACATGGTGGTTGAAGTTCAATTCAAGGCTTTTGGTTAGTACCCAACAACCGGATGCGTAGCACGATTGCAGAATAATGATCAATGTCATCAATTTTAATAATTTGGACTAATAGATGTTAGCATTTCACATTTTATAAATGGCAAAACATTACATTTTATCCGACATATATTATGTATTACTAAGACCTGATCCCAAATAAGATATTGATAGTACGTTGTGAGTATTGATACGAAATATGGGTCTAAATACCTTAATTGGTCTTTAAAAATATATCTAACTAAATTAGGCAATATTAGGCCAACTGAGAGTATAAAAAATTGAACTGAAGTATTTGTAGCTGTAGCTTTTATATTGTCCCCCGAGTGGTCTCCTTCAATCGCCAGCAAATGTCAACGACAAATTGCTGATCTTTCAAAATATGCATACGAGTATCTTATACGTCACAATATCGATGCTCAAAGTCGATACAGATATGGGCACATTCAGTTGCATTGCTTTATTTCTCTAGTATCCATTTGACCAAACCGCAACTTGTCGAATTTTTCGAAAGCCTCCAGCGTTGTTAAGTAATCTACAACCCAGATGTTATTCTTCCCGGATTTTATTAAACGCAAACTGTTAACATTTGAACAACAAACCGAATGTTAATTCAATATTTTGTTCGCAGAACGGTTTTATTTTACGCGTATATCGCGATCCTACCTTGATCAAACAAGAACCTAAACATAGAATAAAAAGTTTATGGTTTTTATAAATAATTTATAACAGTAAAATATTCAATAAAACGTACGCGAGATGCGAACTTGATTTGTGATTTCTACCATATAAATATAAATAATTACAACAGCGGATGAACAGCCAGCACTAATTAAATGTGGTTGTCCTTCTGGGTATCTTTTTTTTGTTCTCATAAATATTACTTTGCTGCCGGTAAAACGGAATGTCAATTATGAGGAACTACTAATAGCGAATCGCCATATCTATAAAAGTGCAACCCTCCACATTGTGCTTTCGTCTAAATCTGCACAAAAAGTGTTTAGTCTAAACATGTACATTTTTCAAGCACATAATCAAAGTCAAAAACATTAACGTTTCCAGGGTTACTGATAATTTGATCTATTCTTTTAAAAATCTACGCGATCGCCATTTCGTGTAGGTTACTTTTCACAATTCAACTACTTTGGTCACTCTTATATTAAATCTCAAACAATTAAACTGTTATAGTATAAGAAATTGTGATACCTCAAATTCCCATTTCTTTACTCCTTACCTATCGGATCTTTAACTATGCACCCACGCAGGATTCAATGATTAGGCAATAGATATGAGCAATAGAAATTTATTTCATATCCGTTTGACGTGAGTGACTTTCATATCCACTGAATGTCTTTGTGAATAATCTAAATGGCACAAACAATGAATCTCCATCTTCAAAAATGCCTGAAATATACGTAAAATATCGAGCTGATGAATATCAAATTTTAGTATGTATATAAATTTGATCACCAAAAAATTTTTGTAGTCATTGATATTGATTGTCATTGATGATTAAATAAAACAATAAGAGACAGAGATGATTCGTAATAATCTGCTGAAATTGTCTTACAATAAATTATATAGAATATAATTACCGAAACCTAACTTCCAGCAAGATTTTCTTATCATGTCTTCAGCTCAATTCAATTTGAATTCATCAGTGCCTATATTAGTTAATAAATTGTGGTGCGTTGCATAATAGTGTCACCGTTCATTAGCAAGTCGTGACAAATTATCAATTATTTCTTGATCTGAAACATTTTGTGGAGGCAATTTTTATTGCCGGATTAATGGATTATATGCATAAAATTGTCCGTAATCAATTAAATCAATTAAACGGTATATGTAAAAGATTGGCTAATATTTTTCATGCCTGACATATTTATTAGTATTACGATTGCTACCTAAATTGAATTATTTTGCCTCACAGGTGTCATGTATTTTAAACTGCCATTTCTACTAATTGTTTCTGAATGCCCGATAAATTCGTAACAGTAACGATAGATATGCGAGGTTCAATGATTAAAACGTGCGAATTATATGGAACAGAAAATGCACATGTGGTTTTTTCAATTACAACAAATTTTTGCCCTAGTCAGTAATACGACTTTTTCTAAAGTTCCTAGACGTTAGCAATTTAAGAAACGAAACTTTCGGTAAACATATTGGCGATAGCTGGTTGGTTGATTTTGTCAAAATCAAAATTGTTTGACATTTTATTATAAATTAAAGCGGATGTGAGCTTTTCGGGTATCTAATTTGATGGTTGTACATTATTTTCGAAAAGATATTTGCTATTTTCACAACTAATGGGAAATGATTTTTTTTATGTTAACACTCAAAGGAAAACCTCAATTTTGGGACCATTATCTTGCCCAATTGTTTCATTTATTTTAAATTGCTAATTGTAAATCTAATTGTACTAATCATTTACATAACTTTTATAGGAGACTAAAAGTGGTTTTGGGTATGTCTGAAACGTTAACCAAATACGGAAGCTGAAATTGTCACTTTTCAACGCATAATTAAAAAAAAAACTATAAATAGTAAAAAAATTTACTATTCGTCCAGTAACGGACAATAAATCTATACCTCCAACGAATTAAATCTGTTGAACTTATATTCATTCGGATTTAGATTCAGTGTAAAAATTTCAAACACAAATATGCTGTTCTTCATTTCGTCTACCTTATAGGCTCGTAAAATAATCGCAACCTCTTCATTTTTTATAATACACAGGCTAATTTGGAGGATGAACACGCTTGACTGAGTATTATTATAAAATCGAAAGGATATAAATGATTGAAGAGTGCCTCGCCACGTACGTGTTTCCGGCCTTTGGTAGATGTTCCCACATCAGGCATCGAAAATTGAAGTACATAGTTAAGAAAAGCAATATCGTTTTTTAGTGGCTCATAGAAATATTGATGAGAATATCCATAGAATTATGTAAAATCTTCTAAATTACCGACAGAGTGTACTTACACTTCTGAATAATAAGATAATATTTAATAATAATAATAATATTTAGCTTTTTTTTTTAAATAAATACCTGGATTTCTCAAAATAAATAAGAACTAAAATTTCAGATTTTCATGGTAAGTTTTTCTTCCTTTATTCAAACAGTTTCCACTCACAATCGGCTCCTCCGACACATGTCGTACCTAAAACCGCATCAAAACTGCAGATATCAGCTTAAACTATCATCTTTTGATCATACAGTTACATGTTCATGTCAATATCTTTCAAATACTAGTCAAAATCGGCGACATCGTGTTTTATAGTAACGAAAACCTTAATAAACCATCAAATTTCGACGTAAAACCCAATTTCTGAGTCAAATAGTTGCCAATTTCGATAAGATCCCAGTCAGAATCTGCTTTTTCGAGTCTTATTGTACCCAAATCTACCTTAGCCAAGCAGATATGAACCTAAAATCCCTCTTTTTGGGACTAATAATTGATTTTCGCTCTTAATTTCGAGCAGATTATAGTCAAAACCAGCATTTTCATAACTTTTCAGACTGAAATCCACTTTAAAGCTGCAGATAACTACTTAAAAACCCACTTTCTTGGATTGATAGTAGGATTTTCTTCCATTTTTCAAACAGATTCCAGTCAAAATCGGTTCCTCCTACCTAAAACCGCATCAAAACTGCAGATATCATCTTAAACTATCGAACTGAGGTGCCTTTTACTTGATGAAAATCCATTTATCAAAATAAATAAGAACTAAAAGTTCAGATTTTCACGAAATTATATATTATGACATGACAATTGTTTCGACAACACCGTGTCTTTATCAAATGTAATAAAGACACGGTGTTGTCGAAACAATTGTCATGTCATAATATATAATTTCGTGAAAATCTGAACTTTTAGTTCATATTTATTTTGATTTTTCTTAAACTATCATCTTTTGATCCAAACAGTTACATATTCATGTCAATATCTTTCAAATACTAGTCAAAATCGGCGTCTTCGGGCATTATAGTAACGAAAACCTTAATAAACCATTAGATTTCGACGTAAAACCCCCTTTCTGAGTCAAATAGTCGCCGATTTCGATAAGATCCCAGTCAGAATCTGCTTTTTCGCCTCTTGTTGTGCCGAATTCTAACGTAGGACTAGTCAGATAGTCAAAACCGGCATTTTCATAAATTATCGGACTGAAATCCACTTTAAAACTGCAGATAACTACTTAAAAACCCAATTTCTTGGATTAATAGTGAGTTTTTCTTCCATTTTTCAAACAGATTCCAGTCAAACCCGGCCCGTGAAAATCTGAACTTTTAGTTCTTATTTATTTTGATAAATGGATTTTCATCAAGTAAAAGGCACCTCAGTTCAATACCGGGATTTCTGCCTGCGACATATATATTGATAATTTAAAGTAACTGAGGGGGATTTAAGGTCAAATGAGAATTAAAAATGGTTTGGGAACTATGGTACTATAATATGAAAACCATAACAAAGAGTTCTTTTGTTATAAGAGTTCTTATGCAAAACAATTTCTTTTCAGCAATTATGTGGCTGAGTGATTCGAGCAAGACCAGAACACAAAGCAACACAGAATTCGATAGCAGCATCAATGGCGGAGAAGAAATTCCCATATGGGTGAGAGGAGACCAGAGATGGGTATCGGGGATTACTGAGGAAACCACTTGTCACGATGTCATCCAGGTGCTGCTAAGAGACGAGGAAAACAGAGTAAGCATCAATTTTTCGATGGAATTTTCGACATTCGTAATATTGGAACAATAATTTCAGGGAAAGCACATGGGATTACCAGAACAATACCAAATAACTGAGAGATGGAGGGGCGTTGAACAGACGTTGGAGCCGTATGCTCCAATTTTAGACATATGGAATACGTGGGGATCTGCCCAAGCAGAAGTAGGAAATTATAAATTACGTTACTTGTTCTCCAGTCCTAATATGGAATGATAAAAAAATAATATTTTAAATATTGCCAGATAATACGATAATACAGAAGCTGAAGGAAACGTCCGTTTTTTAAGCTCCAAGTTTAAAATATCCATTTTAATTGTTGAAATAAAAAACACAACGAAATACACGTCTTATATAATCGTCATGCGCCACTGTTTGATTTGACTTGGATTTGAAATCAATTTTCACCAACTAAGGTTATCTTTCTAGGGTTTCATTTAAATAAACCTTCTTATGCGAGTAGAATAATTTGCAAATCATAATTTTAGGTGAAAATATCATTGCGTAGAACCAAAAATGACCGATCGGCTTACAGAAGAACAAAATGTAGGTCTGATGCCAGCACATATTCAGACCGAAGCGCTTGGAAAACGATCCATCCCAAACGCCTACACGCACTACAGAATGAACCGTCCACCACGGAAGAACTGCTTAAACTAGTGTTGGCTCAAGGTGAAGTTATTAGAAGGCAACTCAAGAAACTACGGTAGACGTTGACAAGGATGACATCAGCATTATCTTATCGCCCTTTCTTTCACAGACATAGCGAACATCAAATTGGCTACTTGGAGGACAAAACACATAGAGCGAGGGTGCGAAAACACGGAAGCAACTATCTATTAGAGACGTACCTGAAGGGATTGTCTGAAGCAGTTCATCCGGATACGCACCACTTAGGACTGGATAAAAACAGCGATAGTGGAGTGATGACTGAAGGAGACAGCGAGCAGTCGAATATTGCCAATAATAAAGCTTCCAGGTCTGTTGAGGTAAATAAATATTATTTATAGTTTCAGTAAATTAAAAAACATTATGGTGATGTCCCTTTGATTTTTCAGATGCAAATGGAAAGATTTTCACCATCTTCCGAAGAATTCATCAAAGACACAAACGATGACGACAGCAGCTCGACTGTGAGCGAGTCGACGATTAAAGAGCAAACAGAATTATTGGAGAAGATAATCAAATTAAATAAGAGTCTTATTAGGGAGGAGGAAAATCTGAGCAGGCTGGACGGAAATTTGAAAAAGTATGAAAGAAATAAATGTAGGGATACTGGACATGACGACAGAGAAGTAAGCAAAACGCTCACAAAACTGAGGACGGACATGACCAAAAGTGCCTGCGAAATGCAACACAATGAAATTGTATTAGAGGAAACTCTCGAACAGCTAGAGAAAAGGAGGAAACGCCTTGAAACGCTTCATCAAGATCTGGCGAACGAAGATCACGAATACGACATGCTCCAAGCATTGTTCTATACGTGTGTCCAGCAAAAGAATGCTTATGGCAATGTTTATTATACCAAAGAATTATTAGATACCTTAGTTTAGTGATTTCTTTTATAGATTTTGAATGTTACGTTTGATTCGTTAAATTAATACCAAATATGTTGTACCTAATTCCTTAATATAACGTTCAGTTTATAGTTAATAACACATTATTTCTTTTTTTGTTGAAAAATTTCTACGAATATATTAATTATATATTTGAAAACAGAAAGCAGCATTTTTTATTATTTGTACTAACCAATCAAAACCAAGTAACCAAAATCTGAATGCTTATTTATTGATTTGTAAACTGGATAATAAAGACTTTGGAAACTTAACAAATCAATGAGACCTCTGATGAAAAAGATATGAAAGTATTTCAGAAGTTTAAAAAGTAGGTATTTTTCGCGATTAAATGCTTCAATTTCGCCTGAGTGTTCAACATTAAAAGAAATGTTTACCTGTTTCAAAACCAAACACGAAACAAATTGCCTTGTTGATAGATGTCACTTACACATACCTACCTGACGCACTTTAGCAACATTTACAACTGACTTAATTAAAATTACAAGTTTTGCATTTAATAGTCCTTGGTAAAACTCCGTCCACATTACACTTTACGATCAAAAAATGATTTTATCGTAAGATCTAGTTATTGCGTCATTTTCTACAAACCACACATCACAAAAACCGATAACAGATATTAATAATGCTTTATCGTCGCTTGTGCAGGTAGATTGAGTTGTTCAAAGGTTCAAAGGTAACATGTAAATATGAAATAATTCCAAACAGTCGTGGTTTGTATAAGGCGTGAAATATGAAAAAAACTCTCTCCCGACATTGCAAATTGAGCAGATTTAAAAGTAATATACTGCTTAGAAACACTGATTGGTTTGCCTTTTAATAATTTTTAGAATATTCACACAAAAAAAAAGTTGAATAATAAAATTCTTTTATTACATCATTTACTAGCAAATATGTTTAAACGTTAAGTCCAGTGATGTTAGCTATCCAGGGCAAGTAGTTCGTTACTCTGGTGAATCCATTAGGATACAGATCATCTTGGCAATACTCCGGACCGTAGGATACAATTCCTACAAGTTTTCCGTCAGCTGTCAACGGACCACCGGAATCTCCTTCGCAAGATCCTTGACTTGTTTCCCCTTTGGTGCAGATTGTCATTTCGGGAACGTACACATCGTATATTGCGCACTGGTTATTGGGCACGATTTGAACGACGGTGGCGTACAAAACGTCGGGGACTTCATATTTGAAATAATCGATTAGACCCCAACCGCTGACGGTTGCTTGTAGGCCTACCAATTCGGCTTCATTGCGAGACGGTAACACAGCCAGTTGTACATACTGATTTAACTGAGCGGGTTGTGGTAACTTTACCAGACCGATGTCGTTCTGAACTGTGTCATAATCGAACTTCTCGTGCAGATATAATTCAGTTGATTGGAACTGCTGTTGCGTATCCTCCTTTTTGCTCAGGTCGTGGGCACCCAATACAATATAAGACACTAGACCCCTGAAAAATTCTATGTAAGAGCAATAAAAGCTGAAATGGTGGATGAATGGAGTCTGAGTTTGAAACCAAACACCCCTCTGTGACGCAGTAACAGCTGAAATCTTTTTGAAAAAAAAAAATACGTTAACATAACACTGGTAGAAACAACTCTAAATAAACCAATGAATCTTAATAAAACAGAAAAATTAATCAAATAAAACTTAATCGTTTTAGTTACTATTGCAGAGTGACATATACCTTCTTTTATTAAAAAATCCAAACATGATAATCCCTTGGTATAGAAGTAGTAGAAACTTACTCATATGTGCAGTGACCAGCAGTCAAAACAAAACTTTCTGAAATCAGAGAACCGCCGCAAGCCCACGCTTGGAAAAATCCTTCGAATTCGAGGTAGGCCTGGTACGGAATGGAATGAGCAGCAACTTCACTCCCATTAATGATCCTTTCCTGCTGTCTCGCCCTTACAAAAATATTTTTGGGTACGCGCTAAACAAAGATTCACCATTTATACATTTTTAAGGGTCTGTATAAATATACACTTACTTTTGGTCGACCCAAAGAGGTCGCCACAAATGCCAAACACAACAAAAGGACGAGAAGTTTCATGATTCTCGAGAACTTATGGATTTTCGCCAGTGTGTCTGACCTTTTATTACAAAAATCACGTTCCAAAATTTTTATCGATGCTAACGAAAGGCAGGAAAGGAGTTCTTGAAATAATCGTCACATTAAAGATCATTATCACCACTTCATAAAAGTATTCAACTGTCACATGCGTGGACGAGAAATATTTGTAAGTATCTAATCTTGCATTATTTGAATCCAACTTGCTGATAATATTTTAACTTAATTTATTTATTTAAAAATCGAGGCCACGCTAATTTATAATGATAGAAATATTAGAATACTATGAAATTTCTTTGTCTTGCCTCGTCCCGTCTACTCTGTATGTCATTTATCATTTTATTTTGCCTCTCAGGTTTCATGTATTTGAGAATGCAATTTTTACCAATTGTCTCTGAATGATCGACTAATTTGTGACAGTATAGACAGAAATTCTAGGCTGAGCTGTGAATACATGTGAAATGTATGAAACTGAAAATGCAAGTGCAACTATAATTTTCTGATTTTTGCACTACCACTACCATAAGATTTATCTAGGATATAAAAGCCAGCAACTGAAGGAAGGAATATTTCAAAATTCCAATAAAAACATGGTCATCAGTCGATATCACATGGCATGTTTTTCCAATGAAACAAATATCCGTTAAGTTTTGGCAAGGTTGGTTGAGTTTACCAAAATCTCTATCTAATTTATAATACATAAATTATTTCTGAAAAATTATTTGTGGTAATTCTCACGAATGGAAAATGATTTAAGAAGTATTTAGATTTACACTCAAAAGAAAAACTCAATTCTCGTACGAATATTTCACTTATTTCGTCAGATGAATTGTTTCGTTCATTTTGAATTAAATAGATAGATAATCATTTAAATCACTCTATAAGAAATCAGGAAACCAGTAGGTGGTGGAATCGTTTAATCCAATATAGGAACGGAAAGGGTGTATCTAAAATTACTAGATTACAATGCATAATTTGATTAATTTTGGCATTTAATAACTTGAAATTTGACCCTTCGTCCGGTAAGGGACTGACAACATGACTACGAATTAAGTGTATTGTACTTATGAGCCTTTACATTTATTTGTATTTAGATTAAGTATGTGTGTATTTTATATAAAAACAGGCTAATTAGGATGATTACTATAAAATCGAAAGGATATAAATGATTAAAGGGTGCGCATCGTCGTATAGGCGCTTCCGGTCTTACCAAGCAGTTACACATCAGGTATTAAATTGCCTAGTTAAAGTCGATTTTTTTTAGTGGCCCATTGGAATATTGATGAGAATATTTAAATAAAAAATTTATTAAGAAAATTTTGCATCAAATTTCGTTGGGTGTTATCTACATCAACATTTTTAGCAGCGAAAAATATGAACAATTGAAAGCATGATAAATTACGGACAGTGCATGCACTGCTTAACATTTGTGAATAAGAAGTTAATAGATACTGGTTAGTGCTGGTATGCCCAGAATTTTTATGCTTAATGTATATGGGACACATACATTGGTTGAAGATAGGTGTTCGAGAACCCGTTAGATTTAGGAACCCCCGGGCAACAAACTGGGAACTCTATAGGGAGGAGCTCGCTTGGCGCCTAGGGGTTTTACCAAGAAAACACCGGACATTGGAGGAGATTGACGAGGCCGCCGACCGCGTCAGCTCCGCTATGATACGGGCTTTCGAGAAGAGCTGCCCTGAGACAGAGGAGCATAGGGAGGGGAGGACCCCTGGTGGAGCTCTTCCCTGGAGTGTCTCAGGAGCAGAGTGCGGAGGCTGTTTAATACAGCGAGGAGCAGCAGCCAAGGTGCGGACTGAGATCTCTATAGGGAGGTCCGCAGAGAGTATAAAAAAGAACTACGGGCGTCACAGAGGAAGGCCTGGAGGGGCTACTGCGATGAAGTAATGAGTACTCCGGACGCAGCTAGGCTCCTTAGGGTACTCAGAAGTGACCCTGCGCGAAGACTGGGAGTGGTCCGGAGGACTGGCGGTGGCTACACAGCAGGACCAGCGGACAGACTACAACAGTTGCTGACCACGACCTTCCCAGGGACCGCTGATCCGGACAAAGGGGGGAATGTTGAAGCCGGGGGTCGTCCTGGATGCGACTACGCCACGGCAAGGAGGGTGGTTACCCATAGTAGGCTGAGGTGGGCTGTTGACAGGTTTGGCCCCTTCAAGTCGGCGGGCGGGGATGGAGTATTTCCGACTCTGCTGCAAAGGGACGGAGGTCTCCTGACCAGCCCGCTGATGGACCTGTTCAGAACCTCCATTGCGAGGGGATACGTGCCCGAGCTGCGGAGACACAGCAGGGTAGTGTTCATTCCCAAGGTAGGTAAGAGTGACTACACGGACACGAAGTCGTACCGGCCCGTTTGCCTCACCAGCTTCATTATGAAGACTCTTCTGGAGAGACTGGTGGACTGAGGGACTGGGTGGATCTGGAGGCCCCTTAAAGCCAGCTCAGCATGCATACCGAAGTGGCCGGTCTGTGGGCTCAGTTCTTCACCATCTGACTTCCAGGTTGGAGGAGGGTATGTGCTCGGGACGGCTGTCGGTGCGCGTGTTCGCTGACATCGAAGGGGCCTTCAATAACACGGCCCTGTATTCGATCTGCAGGGCGGTGGAGCGTGCTGGAGTGGGGACGGCCATTGTAAGGTGGATCCGCTCTATTCTAACCGACCGGAGGGTCGAGGCAAGATTGGGTGGGGAGCAGGTCTCCACCGGTTCATCACGAGGTTGTCCACAGGGTGGGGTCTTGTCCCCCTTCCTGTGGTGCCTAGTGGTGAACGAGATATTGCATATTCTGAGGGAAGAACACGGGGTCTATGCTCAGGCATATGCAGACGACCCTGTGATAATGACACAGGGGACGGACGTGAGGAAGATGCAGGGGCTCCTGGACGGGGCCTGGTGCAACTGGTACGACAAGTTGGCTGTCAAGCCTGGCAAGGTGGAGATGGTCATCTTCACCAGAAAAAGGAAGATGGAGTGCAACCTCAACATTTCGATGGATGGGGTGCCTCTTTCTGCAAGCGGAAGTGTCAAGAACTTGGGGGTATGGTTGGACTCCAAGTTGACCTTCCAGGAACATATAAGATCAAGGACCAGGTCGGCCTTTGGAGCTCTGTGGGCGTGCCGGCGAGCGGTAGGGGGCACTTGGGGCCTGAATCATGCAGTGGATCTACGGTACCATGGTGGTGCCTATGCTCACTCATGGGGCAGTGGCATGGTGGCCGGGGACCAAAAGAGCGGGAGCAAGGCTAGTTCTTGACAAACTGCAGAGATTGGCTTGCCTCTGCATAACGGGCGCCATGAGAACGGCGCCCATGAGGGCCCTAGAGGCTCTGGTGGGGTTGCCCTCTCTGGCGGATCGGGTGCAGATGGAGGCGGCCAGGACAGCTATGAGGCTGGCAAGTTGCGGGCTCTGGAGGGAGGGAACCTTCAATCGGGGTCCGTACGACATTTTAGAGGGCTGGTGCGGGGATCGCGGGGTCATGGGCATGCCGAGTGACATCATGATCCCCGAGACGACCTTCTTTGACAAATTGACCTTTCTCTTCCCATCAAGGGAAGAGTGCAGAGAGAGGGCAGAGTCGGCTCCTGGGATGGACTTGTCTGGTACACGGACGGGTCCAGAATGGGAGATCTGGCCGGAGCTGAAGCGTACTGCGAGACAACGGGATCGAGCTTGTCGGTCCCTTTGCGTCAGTACTGCACTGTGTTTCAGGCGGAAATTTTCGCTTTATTGATGGCGGCCAGAGAGGTGCTTCGGCTCAGCCACGGAAGCAGGAGGGTCTTATTCTGCTCGGATAGTAGGGCTGCACTTATGGCGCTGAAGTCAGTGCGTACGCGCTCCTTGTTGATAAAGGAGTGCAAAGGGGTACTGAGGAGAGTGGCTGAGGAGAGGAAGGTCATGTTGGCCTGGGTCCCGGGTCACACCGGTGTCCGATCCTCGCATAGGCATATAGGGCCAGAGCCCCGCTTGGGGAGGAGACCCTGTATCATCTGCTCACCGAGTGCCCTGCCTTGACATGGGCAAGATTGGGAGTCTTCGGAACGGCCCTGATCGATCCGGACTCAGTGCACGGTATTGGGCTAAAGGAGTTGCTGACCTTCTATAGGAGAGGCGGCATTCTGGACGCCCTCTAGAGCGACCTGGGGGCACAATGGGCCCATCTGGTGGCCTAAGTGCTTGGATGCCCGCGAGGGCGCCCCCCTTTAATACCAATACCAATACATATACATTGATTATTTAAAGACAATGCAGATAGAATAACCATGTAAGTTACTAAGATTCACCTCTTCAAATATTGAAGTTAAAATATGAATTAAAAATTATTAAGAAAATATGACATGTTATCTTGCCCCAACTTATTACCGCTTTTTGAATTCAGATATCTGAGAGAGGTGGAATACTGACAAAAATGATTCCAAAGTGGGTTGGGAATTGTGGGACAATAATATGAAAACCATAACAAATGGTTGTTTGTTATTAGAGTTCTTATGCAAAATAAGAAACCACTTAATACGATATCATCCAGGATAAACGAGGAAAACAGAGTAAGTAAAAATTCTGGAATAATACCAAATCACTGAGAAATGGAGCGACATTGGAATCGTATGCTTCAATTTTAGACATCTACCCCATCAGAAATAGGAAATTTGAAATATTTACTGATCAACAAAATAATAAACCAAGTGTACTTAGATCTAAAAGAATGATATATTGCGATGTTTTTTTGTTAAGCTATTCAACAAAACATTTCAATAGAACTTGAAGAAAACTTAAGCAGATCTTTTCCACTTTATGGGTGCTATTTTCTTTAGATATTGTAATCCGCTACTCTTCGTCTTTAGAAAGATTTCACCATCTTCCGAGGAATTCATCAAAAAAACAAATGATGACGACAGCAGCTCGGCTGTCAGAGAGTCGACGATTATAGAACAGCATTATTAGAGAAGATATTCAAATTAAATAAAAGCCTTATTTGTTTATTATACCAAAAAGTTTAGTGATTTCTTATATAGATTTTGAATGTGTAAACACTTCAACAGGATAACAAAAAAACTGAACTAAGTGATAACGGGGAAGTAGACTCTTACCGAAGCGTTAAATGAGGGTGGTTAGACTATACTTGGTGATTCACTACTAGAAATTTGTTTAAAATCGTGGGGTACGTCCTATTTTTGCCCTGGCCACCCAGTTGGTAAGGCGGTGGGTGAAACATAAGCAACTTTGGAGAGATTTTGGCGGCACTGGTTTTTCACCGGACGTAGCTCCTCGAATAGTGAAAAACTGATTAACACAAAACGGGAAAGTATTAGCTAGTATTTGGTATTAATTAAAGAATTCAAACGTAACATTTGTTACAGGCTAGATCAGAAATTTGCTTATAGTTAAGTACCTAAGTTTAATCCACAGTATTTAATTACATAATCTTAACAGGTACCAAACAATAGGCATACGCATAGATATGAAAGGGATAGTAATTAATTTCAGTCGCTTTATATTCCAGCGTAAGTGTCGTTTTTGCTGACCGTCCTTCTGAGAACAAATGGTGCATGCGCCAGTAAAACACTAAAAAAACGGAAAGCATGTTTATATTATCAGTTTTAGGAATATTTATCGGTTGCAGCGACTTACCTTAAATACCTAATTAATTAATTAATTAATTACCTAATAAATAATAATTGCCTTTGCTCAATCTCACTGGAGACATCGAGGTTCCCAATCCAAATTCCCAAAAAATATTTAATATTAACTATGCTTAGAAGGAAAATGAAATTACTAGTTGCGAAACCTTGTCCCAGAATCACTAGTCGTACTTTCAAAATAGGGTAGCGATCGCCATCCCAATTTAATTCTAACTAATCTCAGCTACATTGTAAACAAACGTAATTAAGGTTAGAACTTTGAAAGTCGTAATTTTGCTTTTTTAGAGATATTGTTTAATAATAGGTGCTTGCTGTTAACTTAAGGCCTAGACTTTTTTTGTAGCTAATACGAATTGAACGTTTTTAATTTACATTTGACTTGCGATCAAGTCAAGTCAAGTGGATCAATCCACTGATTGATTCCGGGAAAAGGTAATGCAACTGGTCGTTTAAATTTCCGTGTAAGCGTAGTTAATCTTAAATATTTTGGCAATTTGGATTGGAGACCTGGATGTTGCCAGTGAAATTGAGCAAAACCAATTATTATTTATTAGGACGAATACCGAACTGAATTTAAGGTAAGTCGCTGCAAAAATTGTAAAATACTTTAGTAACTCATAAATATTCATAAACTGATTTTATAAACATGCTTTTTATTTTTGTTAGTGTGTTAGCTGTGTGTGCCTATTATTTGGCACCTGTTAAGATCATGTAATTAAATTCTGCTTTTAGAATATTAACTTGACTTTTAGTTTCATAGGAAGTGCTCTTAAATTTGCTAGTTTACAGGAAGTTGATTATAAAGGAATTGACAATTAAAATTACAAATTTTGTATTTAATATTGTTTCAGCTTCTACAAAACTCCGGAAAAAAAATAGTTTTTCCTTTTATAACTTTTATATCACTTTAGATATATTTATCAAATTTGGTGTAGATCTTTTAATTATTGAGAGGCAGTTTTTGACACAAAAGCTTTAATTTTATTTTTAGCTCTGGCGGCCGTACGCTTTTTCTAAAAACAAAAATTATTTTTAAAATCGACATTCAGTTTGAAGCAAATTTGGTGCATGAACTTGCTTTCGTACGACGCACGGTTTTCGTTTTAAAAAAATAAATACAAAAAATTAACTACTAACAGAAAGACGTTTATTATTAAATAACTGCATACAAAGAATACTCTGCCAGAAAGAAATAAATCAGAGCAACTGTTGGAAATGACCTCCCCCGACTTCGATACATGCGTTTGTACTCCTTATTAGGGACTGACGAATGCTTTCTAAAATACCAGGGGTGTTCCTAATAACTGCACAAGAGTCTTCTATCCGATTTCTTATATTTTCCTCACTTTGGACTGGTGTCGTGTACACTAATGTTTTTATGTGTCTCCAGAGAAAGAAATTTATTGGACTGAAATAAGGTGACCTGGGTGGCCAAAAATGTGATCCAAAACGTCCAATCCAGTGCGGTGCGGTACCGTGCGGCGTCATGCATAAACCATATAGAACGTCTTTGCTCGAGCGGGTTATCCTCCAATAAATTGTCTGTACTGCTCACCAGTAAGTCTACCAGGCAGAAAGTGAGGTCCGATAAGGAAATCCCCTATCCAATCCAAATATTTTCCGAAAATTGCTTTTGAAAATGGTTTTCATTTTCGGCGTGAGGATTATTATCGGCTCACACATGATTGTTATTGAAGTTTATTATTGAGTTACGGGAAAAACATGCCTCGTCAGTAAACAACACTTGTGATAAGGTGTTGATAATATTTATGACAGTTTTCTCTATCTGAGCCGTTCTTGCTGTTCTTGGTCTCCCTATAAAAGCAGTAAACCTCTTAAAACTACTCGCTTCACCTCTGGAGTGAATATTAACAAAAAGTTTTCTGTTAGGTAGCGGACGGTTAAGGTATTTTTCTTGATACATCCCGTCTTGCGGCCCGAGCATTACCATGAGCCATTCTATACACGAAGTGCATATCTGCCATTTCACGGTTTGTGAATTGAACCATTTTCACCAAAACAAACAAATAATCTTTAAATAAACTTTTAAAACCCACCATCAAATAAACCAGGTGCAACCAGGTGAAATTTGACATGTTATTCTTATAAACAAATGAATTAATGTCGCTTAGCAAAGCCCACTTTACCACTTTAATTTTTTTTACTACTAAATTGTAGATTAAATTGCAGTTTGTTTCTTAAATTTTCCTATTAAATTGCTAGTTTCATTTAAAAAAAGTACATTTAAAAATGATGATGTATTAGCAAGTTTTAATAAATAAAAAAAAGCTAAAAAAGACCGCGTGAATGCTAATTAGAAATCATAAAAAAAATCACTAGACACACGTGACAAATTTCAAATAGCTGACTTTACATAAAAATTAACATTGCAAAATTGCTTTTCGGTTATAGTGGATGCATTTAAATGGTTTTTATTTTTTTAAGCGAAAACCGTACGTCGTACGAAAACAAGTTTATGCACCAAATTTGCTCCAAACTGAATGGGGATTTCAAAAATAATTTTTGTTTTCAGAAAAGGCAGTGACGTGCCATTTTTTTCTTTGAAAGTATTCAGTTCACACCCCGTACGGACGCCACTAGTAAAAATAAAAATAAAGGTTTTGTGTCAAAAACCGCCTCTTAGTAATTAAAAGAATTTCACCAAATTCGATAAAAGTATCGAAAGTAATATAAAAGTTATAAAAGGAAAAACAATTTTTCTTGAAAATTTTAACACCCTGTATCTTGAAAAATATGCATTTTTGGACCTATGTTTATATGAATTTCTCGTCTTCAAATCACGCAAGGAATCGTTTCTTAAAGTTTGGCGGCGTACTTTTTTAACGCCCTGTTTATAACCATTCCGCACTGGTTAGATGCAGAACGAAGTATTATACTGCTAAAAAAATTGAAATAAAAAGCACTGATTGTTTTGGTTTTTACATAATTTTTAGAAAATTTATTTCAAATTGGCTTAAAAGAAAATGTTTAATAATAAAAAAATAGCACATATTTTTAAATATTAAGCCCAGTGATATCAGCAATCCAGGGCAAGTAGTTCGTTACTCTGGTAAAGCCATTAGGATACAGATCATCTCGGCAATACTCCGGACCGTAAGATACAATTCCTACGAGTTTTCCGTCAGCTGTCAACGGACCACCGGAATCTCCTTCGCAAGATCCTTGACTCGTTTCCCCTTTGGCGCAGATTGTCATTTCGGGAACGTACACCTCGTATATTGCGCACTGGTTATTGGGCACGATTTGAACGACGGTGGCGTACAAAACGTCGGGAACTTCGTATGTGTTATAATCGATTAAACTCCAACCGCTGACGGTTGCTTGTAGACCGACCAATTCGGCTTCATCGCGAGACGGTAACACAGCCAATTGTACGTCCTGATTTAAATGAGCGGGTTGTGGTAACTTTACCAGACCGATGTCGTTCTGAATTGTGTTATAATCAAACTTCTCGTGCAGATATAATTCTGTAGATTGGAACTTCTGTTGCGCATCCTCATTTTTGCTGAGATCGTGGGCACCCAGTACAATATAAGACGCTATGCCCCTGAAAAACAAAAACGAAATATTAACAAACAGCAAACTAATCAAAAACTGGTAGAGTTCAAGCAATTATGCGTAGAAGTGCTGTCAACTCTAAATATACCATCAAAATCTATGTAGGGCTCTTTATTTAAGACTTCACAGATTCATTTACCTTAAAACTATGTAGACATAATTTCATTTTCACAGTTCATGTATAAAAATAATAACAATAATTATACATTTATTAGTGCAATGGAAAACATTATAGTTACAGATGCAGTGTTGAAATGCCTTCTTTTGTTTAAAAACACAAATATAATAATGTCTTTATATTTGTTTGAACCGTGTCTAGTAGTGTAGTGCTACTTTTAGACGGATCGATGGTGGAAAGTGGTGGAAAATCGCGAAAAATAGATAGATGTCAATTTTTGATCACGGCCATTTGCTATTGGCTTATGTGTCTCGTTGCCAGTTTAAAGAGAGCAAAACTTCAGCTCCCTCACTCAAATCGTTCGGAAGTTTATATGGAGCGTGGACAGAGAACAGAGAACGGAGAACAGACAAAAAAATAAAAACATTTTTCTTCGACGCTGTTTCGATCTGTATAAGTTTCGTTGAAAAGCGCGTATACTTTCGAAAAATTCGATCTCATCGATTTTGGCGAAAGTAACAAATTGCTTTCGAAAAATTGTCGCTGGGCAGGGCAAGTTCGTAGCGCCTAGAGAGAAACATCTTTTTATTTTAATAGGAAAGAACTTCGCGGTTTCGTATCGCAAAGGGACGCAATGTTTTTCTATTGTGCTCCTGCGGATTTAATTGTGCATGCACCTTGTATAAAGTGTCCTTCACATCTCGTCGAACGTTAAAATTACAGTAAACATCGGTAAATATTATAATTTCCACAAATAATAGCGTTGTCGAATGATATTTTTTCAAATATCTCGCGCCCTGTATAATTAACGAAACCTGAAACTCTCTCTCGATACAGTTTACGATACTGTTCAAATAAAATTGTCCCATTTTTAATGGTTTTTCATTTATCGCCAATAATTTACCCAGAAAAACGGAAATTTTTAAGATCTTTTAGATTTTTTGCCCATTAACAACACACCCTGAACATTATTCAAAAAATATTCGAAGTAAAGGTTATAGCCTTGGATCTTCCACGTTTTCTGGTCCAAGAATTTTTTGAAAATAGTAAATGGTTTTCGAGAAAATAAGTTTTTCCTGAAACCATGCAGTGCGCCGTAATAATCAATGACGTCATCGCATCTTAACAACCCCCGAAATAGAATAGATGTCAATATGGATTTTTTCGAATATCCTGAACAGCGTAGACGAAAACCGTAAATTCAAAAACTCTAGCTCTTGATGCGGCATATGACACTGTTTGAATCTATTAGCCATTTTTTTTTACGATTTTTGATTTGCGGCTAATAATTTACCCTGTAAAAGTACAATTTTCTAGGTCTTTTAGATTTTTGCCTACAATTTCAAAACCCTGTATATAATCGAAAAAATGGCTAACAATTTTGCCGATCCGGTGAACGATTATGAAGGAAAATATATTTTTCCGGAAGCTAAAATTACCAGAAAAAAATTTCAAATTTTTTTAAAATATACTTGGAAAAATTTGATTGTACCCAATTTATACCGTTTAAATGTGGACACGGACTTTTACTTCTCTGCTAAATTTGAAGTTGATATCTGCAAATTTAGGACACTTAACACATATCTCATTTAGCACGGAATATCGGGAACACCCTGTACAATAGGTGAAAACCTTAAATAAAAAAGTTTTTACTGTCGGTGGGGGCTATATCGCAATATAAAAGAGAGTGAGGTCTGATTCACAGTCTTTCAGTTATAACCAATTTTCAATAATAGGGGAAGCCATTTTTCAGTTTTTTTGAATTTGCGGCGCACCCTGTATATTTTTGAAAAATTGTTAAGAACAAAAGTTTATAGAGCCGTATCTTCTGCGTCTCATTTTAGAATACTTCCCGACGCCCCAGCCCCCCCATTTTTAATGGTTTCTGTTACGGGGCAAAGCTGCATATATGTGCCAAATATGAAGTCGATTGCTTGAAATTTCGGACACTTATCGTGTTTCATAGCAATGTTCAAAAAACAGTCGAAAATCGCGGAAAAAAAATGGGTGCCGGAGTCGGATCGAGGCCATTTCTTACAGGCTTATGTATGTATGTATCTCGTGGAGGGTTAAAAATTAGGCAAATTTCAATTTTGTAGCTCCAACGGTTCGAAAGTTATTCAGGGAAAACCAAAAGATGAGAACGGAGAACGGACAAACAAAATTTTTTTTTTGACGGTGATCATTTCTGTACCAACGGCGATCCCATAGGACCTACCGTTACCGAAATATAAAATTTTATATACGAGCATAGGCGATGCTTCAAAAGTACGGACTCTAAATAAAACAATGAATCTTAATAAAAAACAGAAAAATTGATCAAATAAACCTTAATCGTTATATTATAGCAGTAGTGTAACGTTTACACAGATCGATCAATAGTTGCGAAAAGAGACTTACTCGAATGTGCAGTGACCAGCAGTCAAAACAAAACTTTCTGAAATCAGAGAACCACCGCAAGCCCACGCTTGGAAAAATCCCTCGAATTCGAGGTAGGCCTGGTACGGAATGGAATGAGCAGCAACTTCAGTCCCATTAATGATCCTTTCCTGCTGTCTGGCCCTCGCAAAAATACTTTTGGGTACGCGCTGAAAAAATATTCACCATTTATACATTCCAAAAAGTGCGAATAAATAGGAACTTAAGTTTGGTCGACCGAAAGAAGTCGCCACAAATGTCAAACACAACACGGCAACCAGGAATTTCATGATTGTTGAGAATTAGTGGGTTTTCGCTGATGTTTCTGGTCTTTTATTACAAAAATCACGTTCCAAAGTTCTTATTGATCAAAAAAAACAGCAGAAAAAAAGTTCTTGAAATAATCGTCTCGTTGCAAATCATTATCGCCCACTTTATAAAAGTATTTAACTTTCATAATACGCGGACAAGAAGTATTGTTACAAAAATTGCGGATCCTAAAGTTCAAGTCTTGCAGTCCAACTTGATGATAAAATTTCAATTCAATTCAAATTACAAATTTATAATGATCGAAATATTAGAAAGCTGTGAAATTTCTTTGTCTTGCCTTGTCTCGTCTAGTCAGTGTGCTATTTATTATTTTTCAACAATAAAATACGTTTGACTTAATTTTACATTTGAACTGCTTAAGTAGTTATTGTGCAAACACTCATGTTTTTATCAACGTAGATTCGATTCAAAAGATATTGAACACAATACGTACATTTCAACGTCCGCAAAAACGAGACTTATGAAATTTGGCTTCTACATTTCTTTAGTCTGGCCTAATTTAATAAATAACTTATCTGTCATTAAAAAGAGAGCCAATAAATATGATAAGGGTGGGAAAGTTGATTTAAAATTGGCATAAACCTGCAAACGATATTTCTTGCCAATATAATATGTTAATAGGAATTATGTAGCCTTTATCCTCTATATAAATTACAAAACGAAATTCTGTTTTCAAATTTATAAAAATATTGTTTGCTTACTTTAATTTGCAACCCCTGCGTGATTAAGTATAATTTATCGATAGTCAACCAGCCTTATCTATCACACGCTCACCAAAGGAGGATATATATTACAGTTTTGTGGGTTATTGTATGAAAACTGGACTTTCAGTAAAACATATCTGAGAACAATGATAATAAATATCATTAGTATTATTATTATATTGCTAAGGAATTAATTTCAATCTTTTAAATGCTAAAGCGGCCCTTACACAACCAGTATTGCTCACAGTCATGGTAGCGGAACTTTCAGACTTGCCACATTGGTCATTTTGCAAATGAGTGATCTTATTTCGAAATTGAAACTTTCTTGATGATCGGTACGTCAATTAATACATGGTATCACGTACACGTGTACGTGGCATTTTGGCTTTTAAGATCCCGAATAATCGATTTTATTATTAACTTTATTATCTAAAACAGGAAATAACAGATTGCTTCATTAAAGGTTCAAATCTCGAAAGCTACCACAAAAGGCCACAATTGATAGGGGAATTTAGAAAATTCAAAATTTCTCTAAGCTATAACTTGAATAACATTATCAGATAGCCCGAAAAATTCTGAAAGTGTTGATGCAGTAATCCGAAACTACATTAAATTCGTAATAAAAAAAAAGTTTTGAGCGCAGTTTGATAAATTCGTCTGCTCCAGAGTTATTGTTTAAAAAATATTTTTTTCTTATTCCCTACTCTAAAATATCCAATTATGGTGGCCTGGTGACACATCACACAGTGAATTTCTGCTGCTGTTTCACAAACCCTAAGTGGAAACAAAGTGGTAGCAATAATTGTTCCCATTCTTCGTAGCTAGGTTAAATAGCAATTATATTTCATTTCTCATGTTACGAGCCTCCTTCCACACTCTATCCGAAGACAAAAAACAACATTTGGAGTTTGGACCCATAATTTTTCGTCCATTTTGGGAAATTATATAATTTGAAAATTTTGAATAATTGAACTTTTACTTGATGAAAATCCATTTATCAAAATAAATAAGAACTAAAAGTTCAGATTTTCACAAAATTATATATTTTTACATGACACTTGTTTCGACAACACCGTGTCTTTATCAAATGTAATATTTACAAACTACCTGGTACTATATATACCGAAAAATTACCATAAAACCTTAATTAATGTTGTTGTGAGAATTTAAGTTCAATAAAGGAGGGGTATTTCAATCTAATTGATCGTTAAGCAATACATTTGAATGTCTCAATTTGTTAATCTCCATGACTTCCACTAAATTTATTTTTCTTCTTTTTGTGGCTGTATGTAAAATATCAAAATTTTCGTGAAAAATGTGTTTTCCTGTGTTTAAGTGTGTAGCATAATTAGAATCTAGACTATTGTTTTTAAATACTCTTTTATGTTCGATAATGCGTTTCTTGAAGGATCTACCAGTTTGTCCAATATAAATTTTAGGACAAGATCCGCATTTCAACCTGTAGACACCTGATTTTTGAGATTTTGGACATTTCGTTTTATTGTTTTTTAAAAATTTTCCTATTGTGTTGTTAGCTCTGAAAGCTATTTTTAAACCATATTGTGACAAATGTTTTGAAACTTTTTCACTAAGTTCTCCTATGTATGTAATTGTTTTAAATTGTTCGTGTTCTGTATTACGTTTCGAATAAATATAGTTTACTGTTGTCTGGATTTGTTTTTTATTTGAATTTTATTTATAATTTTATCTATAATGGACGGATTGTAGTCGTTGTTCAGTGCAATTTGTTGAATGTTGAATTTTGGTTTAAAATCTATGTGGAACTTTAAAATATTTACTAATTTTGTTGACAGTTTATTTTAGATCAAGCAATTAAACGTTCAACAAAATTAGTAAATATTTTAAGGATCCACACAGATTTTAAACCAAAATTTGCAATAAATAATTGTTTTGAATTAATCAACAAAATTAAAGATATCAAAATCCCTTCTAACGCAATACTATTGTCTTTTGATGTACAAAACTTATTACCCAGTATTCCAAATATGGATGTGATAGATTTAGTAGATTTGACCCTAACTCGGAAACAGGTTAACCCATTGGTGAAAGAAGATTTATTAGATTGCTTAATAGTATCTTTAAACCAAAATTATTTTGAATTTAATGGACAGATTTACACCTCTAGAGAAGGTTTGATTATGGGAAACCCATTTAGTCCTTTGTTAGCCGAGATTTTTATGGATAATTTGGAAAATATCATACTAGAACATCCTTTAAGTAAAAATTTTCTCTGGTGGTATAGATACGTGAATGATGTCTTTGCTTGCTTTGTTGGGACGGACAGACAATTGAATTCTTTTTTAAATTACATTAACTCATTACATAATCGTATAAAATCCACTATCGAGATTGAACAGGATAACTCTATTAATTTTTTAGATTTAACTATTACGAAAGCGTAAAACAAATTACATTTTTCAATTTATCATAAACCTTCACACATGGACACAGTCATACATAGCAGCTCAAATCACCCTTATATACACCAAATGGCTTCATTTCACTCTTTTATACACAGACTTCTTAATACGCCTCTCTCAACAGAACATTACAATAAAGAACTTAATATCATTACACTAAACTACGGCTACAATCCGTCCATTATAGATAAAATTATAAATAAAAAACAAATCCAGATAATTTAAAACAATTACATACATAGGAGAACCTAGTGAAAAAGGTTCAAAACATTTATCAAAATGTGGTTTAAAAATAGCTTTCAGAACTGACAACAAAATAAAAAAAAAATTAAAAAACAATAAAACGAAATGTCAAAAATCTCAAAAATCAGGTGTCTACAGGTTGAGATGCGGATCTTGTCCTAAAATTTATATTGGACAAACAGGTAGATCCTTCAAAAACAGGCATTATTGAGCATAAAACACTTAAACACAGAAAACACATTTTTGGCGACAATTTTGATAGTTTACATATAGCCACAAAAAGTAGAAAATTAAATTTATTGGAAGTCATGGAGATTAACAAAACGTGCAATTCAAATCTATTGCTTAACGATCAATTAGAAATAAACTTAAAAACTTAAAAACTTAAAATCTCACAACAACATTAATTCAGGTTTTATGGTCATTTTTCGGTAGATATAGTAGCAGACAGTGTGTAAATATTACATTTGATAAAGACACGGTGTTGTCCAAACACTTATAATGTAAAAATATATAATTTCGTGAAAATCTGAACTTAGTTCTTATTGATTATTGATTTTGAAAATTTTAATCTTATTCTACTAGTAAATACCACTACGGATACTATAATATTAGGTAGAGGCTGATAGTTGTCATAATAAAATTTATTGAACGTATTTCTATAATTTTTGTTTATTATAAATGTTATACACTATGCCAATAGTACCTAAGATGCAGTGAAAATACAAGGTTGCTGGTAGATTTTCGTATGATTTATCAAAGTAGTTTACAAATTTTATTATAATTAATTGCCGTTTTGGATTACTCCAAAGACTGACCAGTAATGTTAACTATCCAGGGTAAGTAAGTGGTTATTCTAGTAAAGGCGTTAGGATACAAATCGTCTTCACAATATTCGGGACCGTATGATACGACTCCCACCACTTTTCCGTTTACCGTTAACGGACCACCCGAATCTCCCTCGCATGCTCCCTGATCTTTCACCCCTTTCGTACAGATACTCATTTCTGGATCATATACGTCGTACACATTACACTGATTATTATCTACGATTTTAATAGCCGTAGCGTACAAAACATCGGGTAATTCGTACTTTTCGTAGTTAATTAGACCCCATCCGCTGACCGTTGCTTCTAGACCTACCAACTCAGGTTCATTGCGTGACGGCAACACAGCTAACTGGACGAACTGGTTAAGTTTTGCAGGCTGAGGTAATTTTACTAAACCGATGTCATTTTGGATTGTGTCGTAATCAAATTTTTCGTGTAGATAAAATTCTCTTGATTGAAACTTTTGTTGCGAATCTTCTTTGCCGCTGAGATTGTGAGCGCCCAATATCACCACCGCCGAAGAAACCCTGAAATTGCGATTCCAAAAATTTGCAATAGATAGAATTTTAATGTAAAACCTACAAAAATACGCAATGACCGGCTGTGAGAACAAACGTTTCCGTAATCAATGATCCGCCGCAATCCCATCCTGCAAGGAGTCCATAAAACTCTAAGTACGCCTGGTATGGAATGGAATGAGGTGCCACCTCGTTCCCATCAATGATCCTGGGACTATGTCTAGATCTTACGAATGCGTTTTTGACTTTGTTCTGGAAAAATAACAAACGGATAGGCTCTACTGGTTACTTTCTAAATGTGAATTAATTAGCACGGGCTCAAAAAAAACCATCCCTACTTACATTTGGTAGGCCAAGAGAAGTGGCCGCAAATACCAAACACAATGAGAAGATCAACAATTTCATATCTGTCGTCAAAGTGGTTGTTCGAAAATAATAGGTTTCGTTTACGTCATAACCTTTTATTGAATACTGATAGCGATCGATTCACTGTTGAAATTTATCAACTCATTACAGGGCACATTTCGTCCACTTCGACGTTGCATTGACTTTTTATTTTTTTTTATATTAACAAAATTCACTCAAAAACAAAATATTTCTGATCCACGACATGCGGCCCATCAGCCAGTAAACCCATCGTTTGCCAGATTCGAATTGAAGAAGATATTCCTAACACCAAATCCAAAATTATTCGATATGCTGCCGAATAAATTCAAAATATAATCTCAAAAATCAAAATTGTTAAGTAAAGCATTACTAAATGCACCTACATTACGTCGCCTAAGAGAGGACGCTACCAATACAAAAACACAGTAAAAAACAAGAGTTTCATGGTTGCCAGATGGAATGGTAATATTCATTTCTATAGGATCCTTTTATTAAAAAGAGATAAGCATCGCAATAATATGTCGTTTTCTAAAGGACGTGCGTAATCAAATCAACAACCAACAAAACATGCTTAAATCGAACCTTTGTAGTAATTTCGCCTCTCTAAATATTTTTCTCTCGAAGATATACAAGGAAATTAAACGGAACAGGATGGAATTTCTCATTTTATAACTCTCCGCTTTTCTGAATTAGTGCATATTTTCGCAACCCATAGCATCCTTTATACTTTTATTTGGATCCTAACGAAAATTTTCAATAAATTTTGCAAACATTGAGGACTTTGTGCACCGTTAATTTGGAGTTATTTTACTTTATCTATAATATATAATATAATAACTATTAAAGTCAGATAAGGGTGAAATTTCATATGATATCCAAAAAGTTCCAATTTGCTTATATCTCCTATGGTGTTGATTAAATATTTGCTTTCGGACAATGTTAAATCTATTAGAGTAAGTGCTCATTTTTGTTGATTGATAAAACTTACTTTATCCTTCGTATATAATTAAAAGTGTCAAATGTAACTGTAAATGATGTTTTTCCCATTCCTTTACTCTTACACGTGCGTCTTTCAAATAATAGTCAAACGGTACTCTAGTAAATTTATTACAGAAATCACACAATAAATTTAGCCCAAAGCCAATCCCGTAATATTAGAAATCCAAGATAAGTAAGAAGTTACTCTGGTAAATACGTCTGGATATGTATCGTAATCACCGCAATAATATGGGATAACAGATGTGATTCCCACAAGTTGTCCGTTGGCGGCCAGAGGAGCACCTCTATCATCGTCGCATGTGCCTTGGAAATTTTGGCCTCTCGCGCACAGAGCCGTCCGACTGTCGTAAAAGTAATTGAAGGTAGATAATGAATCACAATCACTATCTTCTACTATAGCAAAAGTACCGGCCTGTAAAGTATCTGGTTTTTTGTAATGAAAATAATCAGTCAGACCCCAACCAGTGGCGACTGCCTTTAACCCAACTAAACTTGATTCACTGCTCGATGCCAAAGGGATGGTCTGAACGTATTGGTTCAAAGTTGCAGGTTGTTGCAGCTTCACTAATGCGATATCATTTTGATTAGTACCAAAGTCATAGTCTTCATGGAGATACAATTCGGAGGAGTTAAAGAATTGTGTCGTATTCTCAGCTTTACTGACGTCGTGGGCACCCAATAAGCCCTCTACCCACTCAGCTCTAAAAATAGAATTATTGAAATTAAAATCAATTTTGAGAAAACTTGAAGATACAACCTCATGTATTATATGGAAAAATTTACGAAAAGAGCAGTAAACAGACTTGATAGAAGATGTAACTATTAATTAAGTTTCCGTAAGAATAATGATGATTAAAAAGACTTCAGTCCTGAGTATTTAGTGTTTATTATATTGCAATAAGAATGTTTAAATGAAATTGACGTAAGAAAATTTTTGTTACGGTATTAAGGAGAGGAGTGCGAAGGTAAAGGAGAAGAGTGAGGATAATATCAGATGACTAATTCCCATATCGTTTGGTTGCTTATAGATTGCTTATAGATTCTCGGATTTTTTCTTGATAGAAAAATTGATTACATGCAGGAATTTTAGTTTATGTTCTGTCATGTCTTTGCCACATATGAATGGAATGCTGTAAACTGTTGGTATTTCAACAGATCGAAAATGTTGAGAAGTGATGTCGACGTTCAATTTTTTAAGAATTTTTAATATTACAAACTGGTTATGTTTTAAAAAAATTGAAAAATGCTGTCTGGAACATATTTTTCTTATAACGCTAATTTTCGAACGAACGTCGGGAACAGCTATGGGTTCTCCATTTTCACCAATCATCGCGAATATATTTAAGAGGAAAGCACTCGACAACTTCAATCTAAGACCAACATTATTTTCTTATCCATTTAAAATCTTTACACCCTAACATACGTTTTACCATTGAATTGAAAACTAAGAGTAATCTCAAATTCTTAGATATGCTCATTAATAGAAAATCATGCATGCAACATTAGATCATTCTGTTTACAGAAAACCTACGCACACACACTGATAATGGTCACATGGTCAATGGTCATCCAAAATCATCGGTTCAACTCTCTTGTTTACAGAGCAGTAAAAGTATCTTAACCCAGAATTAAAACACCTTACATCTGCTCTTCTCTCTAATAATTAAAGATATTAAGCGTTCCATCACAAAATTCAACCTTGTAACGAATATTTTAAAAGCGCACGCCCATGTGCACCCTCCGCGCTACCGTGCATCAGACGAACCGCGGAGAAGTGGTATTCTTTTACACTGTCATAAAACCAATTTGCCCCCAGTATTCAGCAAATAAAGTAAACTATAGGACAGACATTCATAATTTAACCTTAAGACTTCGTACGTTAATTATTCCAGAGCATACTGACTCAGATGTGAGAAGTTTCATCTACTTAATGTCTCGCGTATAAACATAACATCCATCTTCAGTACAAAACGTTCAAATTAAATCAGTTTAAAAAGGAGATTTAAGAAATATTGGTCAGTACTTCCGGATATCTTTAATAAGAGTTTCGTCACATGGTGGTTTATCTTTGCTTTGACTGCTTTACTTATTTTGTCGTCTCAATTATATATTATTATCACACCACACCGATTATGACGTTTGTACTTGTTTATATGTACAATTCAAGTACATCTTGATTAAATTAGCTAAATAATTTAGTAGTATACAAATTAAATAAACTAAAATCGTCTAGTTCAATCTACTGAACATTGACCTTTGTTTTTAATTTCCTCCAATCACCCTCTAAGATTATTACATAAAGCAAGTTACGCTCTAAAAACGTTAGTTTTGTCATACAGTGGAGAAAAAATCCTGAAAATTTCCAATGCTATTTTTTTGGAATATCACGAAGTCTCATAGATACGCGTTAACTAACCAAAACAAGTCACAAGGTCGCCGAAATCTCGAAAAATCGCAAAAAAAATCCAAAATCTAAAATCGATAGCAAACACTCAAACGTCAAACTTCTACTTAGAAGATATACGATTATAAAACATAGCGAATATGTCAAACGTAATGACGATATAATTAATTACTCACCCGTAAAGGCACCAACTGCCGGTCAACACAAAATTTTCGGAAATAAGTGCGCCACTGCATTCCCACTCTTCCCAAATTGTCTTGAATTTTAGATAGACTTGATACGGAATTGAATGTGGGGTAACCTCGCGCCCTTCAATGATTCTTTCTCGTGGTTCTGATTTAAGGAGAGATTTTCTTGTTTCATGCTAGAAAAATAATATATTGGCAGCAACTGATTTCTAGAGATTATGGACTTAGAAGATAATTTTTTGTATTTAGGTTTTTCGTTTTAGAATCTGTGCGGTTTTCCTGGCTGTCATGGTTTTACTATCAAAGCTTTCAGATGATTCTGGATGATGGTTAGTTCCATTAAAGATTACTGTCGTAGTAGCTTTGATTGGAAAACCAATCGACGCTGACTTAAAATCTTCGAAAAAACACACAGATCATTAAACTGATCGTGAAAGTTCACGCAAGACTCAGACAAAAGCTCGGACAAAATAAATAATCATAGTAAAGATGAAAAATACTATCAGGGCTTTTTTTATTTTTAAAATCAGGGACGACGATTTTTCTTTATAAGAAAGGCTACTGCTATTCAAAAGATAGAAAAAACTTTAAAAAAAGTAATAGCAGTATTTTTTCTCTAGATTACTTTATATAAATATTAGAGTCACACCTTAGTAGAGTAGTAGTACAGGTAAGAAAATAAAAGGAAATAGTAACAGCATCACACCACCATGTTGATACACATTAGGTGATTTTTCGATCTGCATTTGAGGAATATGTCGTTTACCATCTTCAACTACTACTTAGGTGGATAATTTAAAAATATAACACCCAATTCCGAAATTGCCAACAAAACCATTAATAAATGTAAGCACTTACGTTAGGTCGCCCAAGAGAGGACGCTACCAGTACAGAACACAATAGGAGGATGTAGAGTTTCATTATTCCCAGACCGAATGCTGAAATAAGTTTCCTCCGCATCCTTTTATTAAGGAGAGATAAGCATCACAATGATACGTCGTTTTCTAGAAGTATGCAAGGGACAACGTCTGTTATCGCAGGCACTCAAAAAAAAATCATCAAAATTTTCTGAATGGGTTAATAAAGGCCAGTCTACAATGAAATTCATAAAACTGAGTCACATTCTTTCACTTTTAGGCATTTTGTAGATGAAAAGACCGTGTTTCTTAATAAAATAAAATAATTGAATATTTCGAGGGTTTGCTCTGTCTATCATTAATTGATAAAAAAGAGATAAGGATGTGACAACTGTAGTAGGTCGCAGTTTTTTCCAGCAGGTGAGAATTAAAGTTTTTAAACATTTACAGTACAACTACAATTAATTGCGATCACCTTAAGTATTTCATTAGCATATCTAAAACATCATTTTAATTTCGTAAAATAATTTTGAATATATCATTTCTCATTTAGGAATTTATAGTTTCTGTCTATTTAATTTTTTTTGGCAGTTATAGGATAAATAGGGGTATGACGTATGTAAATAGGAAATGCATACGGCTACCAATAAATGTATCTATCGGAACATGTCACTTAGAACAAAAAATCTCATTTTGAATAGCTAGTATTTTTTTGCAACAATAAATATCCAACAACTTTATGCGGACACACAGTGAAGCATCCAATGCTATAGATTCTTCTTCGGCGTGACCTTTACTTCTTTTACATGACCCCCCTTACGAAGAACTGGCTTTGGTACACTGCTGATGGAAAATGCCATCGGTGACCTTGAATCGTCACAGTCCCGCGTTAGAATAACTACTAGCGATTTTTAAGAATTTTCAGCAATTTAAAATAACTTTATAATTATAATTAGGAAGTGGCTAATATGACCATACAGCTCTCAGATAATATAGTAGCCCTACTGCGGTAAAAATTAACGCGCTGTAGGCAGTAAACAACGATTTCCACACACTTTACTTTTTACTTTTTTCAGAATGTTTAATAAAATCTAGGCATATTATTAAAAAAAACAATGCTTCAAAATGCCGCATCCAAACTTATTGACGATCTCAGCGGCCATGTTGGTTGTTGAAGGCAGCAAGGTCATTCATTTTTTTTTTTCATTGCTGTCTATATTATTGGTATAGGCAGGGCCTCCATATCTCTGGTAGCTATATAGTTATTTACAGCGTCTGGCTTAAATAAGGAAAAAAATCATTTTAAAATCAAGTATATGGCGATAACATAGAAACTTATGAAGCAACTATGAAAAAATGTTCGAGAAGGCTCTTCTCGTTTTTAACCAATGACTTTTCGGCATTCAACAACCAACATGGCCGCTGACAGTTCGTCAATAAGTATAGATGCAGCTCAATTTTTGTCGTAGTAGGGCCCACTATGTTATCTAATAGCTATATGCCTTAACAACAATAATGGTAGCTTATCATTTATATTGGTAAACCATATTTAATAACTGATATAGTTTCCATGGTATATCTAAACACAGAAAAGAGACTGTTTATACTACTTTGAAAGTATATTCTAATAAAATTGAAAGCAGAAAAAAAAGTGGTGCTACGCTTTATAGCAGATGTGTCAGCAAAAACAAAGTTGTTTAAACATCTTCTGGATTCCTCCTACGTCGGTTGTTGATGAAATCCGACTTGCTGACGTTTGGCCAATCATCCTTTTTCATCGATTTATCGATAACGGACGCAGGAGGAACCGAGAAGATTTGTAAATGATCATAGCGTACCTGGTGGAATTATATTTCAGAAATAAAAACAAAATTCAATTGTTTGATAGTAATTTTGTTTGTTAGTTGTGGCGTTGTGCCATAATGTTGGATTTAAAGCAATAAAAACAAACGCGCAAAAAAGCTTTCTAACTCAACTTTGATAGAAATATCCAAGAGAATTGATAGCCACATGAAAGTAATTTTTTGTGGATGTATTTTCCAAACTTCCTGTTTAGTATTAATGGTAAATTTAAATCTGTAAAGATATCTGCATAATCGTCTATTAAATAAATTCATAAAAATTACCTTTGAGAAAAGTCATCAACAAAACTACGTAAAGACAAAAGTATTCATCTTTACTGATATTCTCCTTAACATGTTAGGATCGATATTGCAAAATTCATAGCTTTGACTTTGAAATATAATACGCAAGATCTATAAAAACTCAAATTTTTTTTAAATAATAAATTAATGAAATTATATTATTTAATTACGTAGATCAATTTTGAGACAGACTTGGGTACTTGAAATGAAAGAGACGTGCATATTTATGGCTAAAAGCACCTAATATTTGATACGAAATCAATATTTAAAATCTAATGACATCACAGTTCATATCGCGATAGTGACAGCTGTTATTCCTATTAAGGAGTGTTTTTTTTATATCTGCATCTACAAATAATGAATGTGTCGTGGAAACTTTTGTTGCAAAATAAAAATGTTATTGTTGCTTCACTATAAAAAGATAGGAATCCACATTGCCCAACACAGTTTTCTGCACATACTCTAACACTTGAATAAAATACTGCTCCGCAGAAGACAGACTCAAGAACGAATTCATGCGTGCACATAAGTGCAATGAAAATCTTTAAAATATTAAATTTAATATACGTATTAATTAGTGGACCAAGATAATATTCGCAACATAATGATAATATTAAATCACTCTACGTGTTCAAAAATATCAGGTATGTATACCACCACGATATTTGATACCGATTGCATGTCCTTAGAAGTACTATTTATATTGATAAACGTAACAATAAAAATATTTTTTCGTTTGAATGAAATGAATCCGTAACATTGATTTAAGCAATATAAGATACATTGAGCTCGCTTGATATTTTTCAATTCCAAAACCTAAAATATTGGTATTAATGAATTTTTGACTACACAACAATAATTGAACCTATAGGAAGTTACAGATTTGAAATTTTATCATCTACCCTAAAATGGCCAATTGTGGAAACACGAGTTCTCAAAGTATCACTTTAAGATATCAGCTTTGTTAAACCGAGTAGTGAGTTTCTTTGGGAGTACGTACTTTAGTCACGGCTTTGAGACTAATTCTCGTAGATAAACTATAATACACAACACGAAATTGAACTCGTGACTAAAGTGTCGTCTATCATTGTTACATACTATACAAATTCAATGCTATCAAAATTTTATGTAAGGCTAAACGACGTCATATCAAAAATTCCTATTCGGTCCCTGGTTTTAGCAAACTCTTCCCTTCTGTTTTCTCCCTTTCCTGATTCTGTTTGTGTTCTGTTTCAGCTCGGCCTTATTTTAGATTTTTACAAGACATTTCATTTTCGTCCAATTTCCAACTATGCTCACTGGATAGATTACAAGTCTGTCCTTGTATATACAATTTTTTTTTATTATTTTATTTTTGGTAATTTTCACAGAGAGAAAGTTTTCTTATGTTTGGTCGGGTTTTTAGGACAAATAATTTTGTGTATACACATATATTACTTTGACAATCCGGGTATAATATTTTTAACACAAATAAGCATTTAAGTTACTGGAAGGTTTTTTACCGCGGTATGGCCGTTAAGGATTTTTTTTGCGTCGAGCCAATCGGCAGTGGATTTATCCCGTGTGTGTGGCTGTGGCGATATCTTTTGCGCGTTTCCGCGAAGGGAACTTAATACTTAAGGCAGATTGTCGTTGTGCGTTTGTGCTGTCCGTTGCGTAACACCCGGTCAGTTCTGCGAATTGAGTAGCAAAACTTACATCGAACAAGAAGCAGGCCTACTGAGGAGACAGAAGCGTGCGCTTAAGATGAGACCTCAAACTTCTTTAGCGGCCCGTTGGGCGATCGGTCTTATTTCTAAATTCTTAAAGCCTACAATCCACTTTAATGCTCTTCCGGGCTCGCTGCCCATTTTCTTTTCATAGCGGTGGTAAGCAACCTCTAGTTTTACTCCGCGAAAAGCAATTATTTGGTCCTTCGAGCCGGATTTTAACGCAAAAAAAACCTTAATGGCCATACCGCTGTAAAAAACTTTCCAGTAACGTAAATGTATATTTGTGTTAAAAATATTATGTTATATATATATATATATATATATATATATATATATATATATATATATATATATATATATATATATATATATATATATATATATATATATATATATATATATATATATATATATATATATATATATATATATATATGATGACACTATATTCCGGGATATCATCCGTTCGCTCGTTGAACTCCGACTGGAATCCTGCATCCGACTGGAATCCTGCAAATCCTGCATCCGACTGGAATCCTGCAGACGTTTCGCCAAAATCTCACTTGGCATCTTCAATGCTCGCGCTCCGAAAACACTTCGAACATATATATATATATATATATATATATATATATATATATATATATATATATATATATATATATATATATATATATATATATATATATATATATATATATATATATATATATATATATATATATATATATATATATATATATATATATATATATATATATATATATATATATATATATTTAAAAAAAACTATTTGTCCTAAAAACCCAACCAAACAACCAAACATAAGAAAACTTTCTCTCTGTGAAAATTACCAAAAATAAAATAATAAAAAATATATATATACATATATATATATATATATATATATATATATATATATATATATATATATATATATATATATATATATATATATATATATATATATATATATATATATATATATATTCTCACGTATTGATTCACGGATGGAAAAATGTGATGACACTATATTCCGGGATATCATCCGTTCGCTCGTTGAACTCCGACTGGAATCCTGCATCCGATTGGAATCCTGCAAATCTTGCATCCGACTGGAATCCTGCAGACGTTTCGCCAAAATCTCACTTGGCATCTTCAATGCTCGCGCTCCGGTGTTCGAAGTGTTTTCGGAACGCGAGCATGAAGATGCCAAGTGAGATTTTGGCGAAACGTCTGCAGGATTCCAGTCGGATGCAAGATTTGCAGGATTCCAGTCGGATGCAGGATTCCAGTGGGAGTTCAACGAGCGAACGGATGATATCCCGGAATATAGTGTCATCATATATATATATATATATATATATATATATATATATATATATATATATATATATATATATATATATATATATATATATATATATATATATATATATATATATATATATATATATATATATATATATATATATATATATATATATATATATATATATATATATATATATATATATATATGCAAGGACAGACTTGTTATCTGTCCACTCACTATATAAATATTTTACATCGTTACGCATAATACCTCGACACAAAGCCTTTAAATATTGGAATGTCACGACTTGCCCCACCAGACGCACGATTCAAATTGAAAAATAGATTCCAGTGTTTACTTCAAATGACTTTTCCCTTTTTGCAATTCCGAAGGCAATCTTTGACAAAAATGTGTTGTCTTAGTTGATATTATTTCACTTTCAATATACATGTAATGAAAAACAATCCCATCGGAATACCAGTTAGACGACGCAACAACAATTTTATCTTGGAAAGTGGTTCGCACGTAATCCAGTTTATATATAGCAAATTAATCTGCCGCTGTATTTTTTAAATTATTTTTGAATTGAAGAATAAATTTTCTATAAAGCGTTATTACTATTTCAACCCGATTTTCACTTCATGATAATAATATAATGCAACAAGTTTTGCAAACGATGCTTAATATCTGCATATCTTTCGACGACCATTGTGTAGACTTTTACAAAAATCATTGATAATACGTTCACTGAGTGACGCGACCATTAGAAATAACAAACGTTAAAACACCAGCAGTATTTAAGTTGACTAAATTACAGAAAGCAGCTCGTCACAGTAGTCTACAAAACTCAAAAATCATTGATAATACGTTCACTGAGTGACGCGACCATTAGAAATAACAAACGTTAAAACACCAGCAGTATTTAAGTTGACTAAATTACAGAAAGCAGCTCGTCACAGTAGTCTACAAAACTGTTGTCTAAAAGTCACTTTGGGCACGCCTAGTTAATGCATACTTGGGTATTGAATAGGGAGTAAAAAAACATTTTGGAGTTATACTACTGTAGACACTCCCTCAATAGCGACCACCCTCGGTTAATCAAATATTGGTCGTTTACTAGGGACGGTCGCGTAAAAGGAAAATTATTTATTCATAATTTTAATTACAGCTCACTAAAAATAGATTTTACTAAATGCTCCAAATATATACATAATATGATAACTTGGGAGTGTGTTGCTGATGTGACTTCAAGTTAAAAATGGCACACGAACACAAAACCGGAACAATATTCTAACTGAGCTACAAGCATTTGAAATTTTAAATACCATTTAATAGAAACCCCTTTAATTTTTCAAAGAAACTTCCACAGGCTACTAATACTTTTTACAAAACTTCTGGATTCCTCCTGCTTCGGTTTTTGCTGAGACGAATTTGCTAACGTTTCGCCAATCATCCTGTTGGTTTCTTCAGAGCTTGACTAACAGTTTCAGTCAAGCTCTGAGCAAGTTCGTCTCAGCAAAAACCGACACAGGAGGAATCCAGAAGTTTTGTAAAAAGTAGAAACGCCTTTATTTTATATATTATTATTTTTTATTTATTTATATCTTATTTTATTGAATTAGTTGCTGAAAATGTTGCTGTATACATAGTCTAGTTTTTCTAAAAATTGAAGTGGTAGCTCTGCTAACAGTCTCAGGATCAGCAGAAATAGTTTCTGCGATCTCCATAATTCCAGTCACCAGTTGTCCTCTGTTTTCAATACTTTTCTTGTGTTATTAATATCGGATGAATGAGGTTGCATAACCAAATAATATTATCCGACAAATCCTTTGATTTCTCAATATCCAGCGACTAAATTCAAGTCTTGAAGCGTAGTCGGCAGGTTTCAAAGCTTGTACAGCTAATATGCGGTACAGGTACAAACGGAAATTATGTAAAGATCTTCACATTCTCATCCGCCCTATTTCTCAGGATACTAATAGAAGGTTGAGCATCAATCATATTAGGTATTGCCTCTTCTTGAGCAAGTTTCCGTTGAACGCCAAATTCAGAAGTAGCTGTAGGAAACTTGCCAGTTTCTCTCAAACATCAACTACGGCTCGTCCATAAACAAGGTGAATGTCGGCGTATTTTTCATTCGAAAAAGTACACATTTTACCTTGAAGAGTATACACGCAAAATTAATTTAATTGATGTTTACTGTCTTAATACGTAAGATTCACAGCCAGCTGGCGTTTTTAATAACAATATTAACAGTCGAACGTAATACTGGAACAACCAATTCAATATAACGGTTTCTTTTTAAATGGTCATTAAAACTTCAAATGCTTGTAGCTCAGCTAGAATAGCGTTCCGGGTATATCTTCATTTGACATTTTTAACTTGAAATCAGCAATACAGTCCAAGCGACGGCAGTCATATCGTGGGACACCCTGTATATACAGAAATAACTTTTTCTTCCAGGTATCCACATCTGGGATATTTGAAGTTCTGAAGTCATTTGGTAGTATATATCAAGCAACTTCAACGGCTTTTGCTTGAATTATGGCTCTCAATATTAGTGAATGCTTGTTTCGAGACTTACAAAACCAATTCAAAACAGTCTGGTCAACAGCAAGTCATTCGATTTCAGGACACTTTCTTTTTTGATCAGAATTGCTACCTTGTCGGTAAAAATTTGTAACTTCTTCTAGTCGTCATATAACTTTGTTAATTTTATTGATTATATAGAATTTTGCGTTAAGAGAAAGATACTTTCTTTTTGTGGTCATCCGTTAAAATGATTCAAAATACGACTAAAGTTTATAACAGAAAAGGGGTAAGCCCTATAAATGTAAACTGTAATTAGGAAAATGTATTTTTATTATTTGAAGTGTTTACCATCAAAAAGCTGGCTTTCCAGAACATTTTAGTGCTCTTTGTTGAGGGTGGTCTTTACACATATTTTATAGTTTAAGTTGGGGAAAACAAAAACGGTCGCCGTGGTCATTTTATAACAGTGAGCCTTAACAGAGGCTTTACTGTATTTGAATTTTGGTTCTGACTGATATAGTTTGTTCAGTAAACATAAATATAAATAAATAAAAATAAAATAAATATTAAAAATAAATATGTGAGTCTAATATTCAAGAGCTTAATTCTAAATAATACCGATAACGAATTGGTGGAATGGTGAAATGAGTATATGAGTTATACCAGTTTTCCTCTGAACCGCTCAAATTTTGTTTTGTGTCCCACAACTTTGTATTTAAATCCACATCGCAATATCAAATCAGAGCGTTGCGGCATATTACATTTAAAGTGAGACTTCCGACCCTCTCCCTCCCTAACGAATTCTTCTTCACGGATCGATGAATTAAATGGCGTACAAGGTATGGGAAGACGTTATAAAGCATTCCTGTAAGTGACCTTCCAATTCATTTTAGAGTTGCCTGGCTGTTTGATCATTTGTGAGTGCATAACCTAACGACTTGAATTATGCCTTCGCCTTGTGAATCTTGTAAAGGTGGGTAGATAGAAATTAACTTTGAGTTTAATGGTTTAGAATTTTGGTACATTACCAATTTTTGCTTTGCCTGGTTACAATGAGTTGAATGTACTAACCTGGTATTTAAGGAACATGCACCGACGGAAAATCAAATTGTGGGGATAATTGTAAATGTGGCCCCGACTGCAAATGTTCAGGAAAAAAAGGTATATCTATGCTTAACAGTTCTATTAAGTAAATACGCTGTATTTTAATTCCCAATACGCAATATTTTTCTCAATTAAATGATATATTATAATTTTGACACGAATCATCGATTGTATTGTTAAATAGCTAACTCCAGAGAATGAATAAATAAGTCCAAAATAAACACGCACAACGTGGACAATGATAATACGAAGAAATGTGAGACAAGTACATAGTATTTATGTTAATTTTTCTTTATTAAATCTTTTAAAATTGTTGATTTTGATTCAAAATTTTAATATATTCATTTAAATTTATAATAATCAAAATATTTAACTCTAGTACAAAGAAAAAAAAAGTAATAGTGTAACGCATTAATCAATATTTTTAACTAAATGACAAAAATATTTCAAAATTTAACTTCTGAAAAGGTTATATTATTATATTTTAAAGTGTACACTTTAGTTCAATTCATTATTTATTGAAATATAAGAAAAATGAAGTTTATTCTCAGTCACAATAAAAAATTCCTTACCTTCATTACCTTCAACTTACTTACCTTATTTTATATAATTAATTTTTGTTTAACAGAAAATATTAATTGATTTATTTTCTGTTAACTTTTAATTATGTTTTAGGAAACTAAATCCGTAAGGTGGAGGACCATCAACTAGAATATGCACATCCTTAGAAAGGAGCATCAAGTTTTGATGCAGTAGCTTGCTCTTATTAACTAATAATAATCGCAAATATACAGATGTGAATCCGAGTACTTTATTTTTTGCATAATATGATAATATTTTTTGCAAATTTGTGATAAGAAACCCTAAATCCAAACCTTAGAATTAAAAAAAAAGGACGCCACCAAATTACGTCATTTTATTAAATGAAAACAAAACATCTCTATATTTAAAGACTTTTTTAACATTGTTAAATATTTCCTCGATGTAACAATTTTATTGTTAAACATACGCTAAATCACAATATTCCATATGTAAATAGGGAAGCGGTACTTACATAATCCTTTTACATATTTAAATTTAATGAACGTACACGTGAATTAAAATGATTAAAATTAATTCTCTGCTGAGAAAACTAAAATATACATAATAGACATTCTTATAAAACCATAAAAAACGAATATTTTTTCACCCTCAACAAACACACACACGCGTCTAACATTTGAAAAAATGGCGTCTCGAAAAAATAAAAAACCTTCTTCGGGGACATTCGAACGAAAATTAACCTGTTCATGGCTCGAAATTCGAAAAATAAATACAGATACAATAAAGTGGTTGCCAAAATCCGTAGGAAAAATATACTCAAACCTAACCTGCAAAAATAGGGAAAATATAAGTGTTAATATGCGCCATTGCATTACTTAAAAAAAAAACATTACGTACGAATATATATTTTAATGAACCTCATTGAAGTTCGGTAAAAGTCGTTTTCCAATTTTCAAGTAGTTTCGTTATCGGTGAAAAGGTTACAATATTGGAGTCCAACTTGTACAAAATCTTTAATATCTATAAGATTGTTGGCAGTAATCAAATATTTTCTTTAGAATATCAAAAAATACAAAATATAATAGGGCTGGTTATAAAAAATAACACTGTTTTCATTTATTATAATTTAGAAATGGCCCAGAACCCAGAAAAAATTATTTTTCGTGCATTTACTATGAAAATGAACATAAGCCAATGAAATCAAATAGGCGACCTCAAACCGTCGAGAAATTATTTTTGGAAAAATTTATTTAATTCATGGAAAACTCAAAATTTAGACGAGTAGGCAGTGTCGAACTTAAACTTTACAAATTCATTTCGACCCATTACTTCAAGTACTTCAATTTATGGTTTGCACAAACTTAACGACATACTTATACAATTACTTATGGTCCCAGGAACGAGTAGTGATAACAAATAAAAATTTTGAATGTATTGCATACAAGAGTTGGTGGTGTATTGTCATCTCAATAACTATGACGATTGGGCCAAAAAGTGATATTTTCTATAAAATCGGTAACTTCTTTTAATAGACGTTTTTAATAATTACTATTGATCCTTAAATTACCAAAGCCTAAGAACCCTTTTGATGCTAAATAAACCTTTCTTTAAAGATTAGACTCAAACACTCAAGTTTTCCAAAATTCAACTTTGGAATGAATTCCTGATGACATTTTTTGGAAGATGACAATTGAAAATTGGAATGGCTTAATATAAGCAGTGTTGAAAAACCAAAACGCCGTTGTTCTCACTACTTGAAAAATTTTAGCAGATATCCTAAAAATACATTATCATACTTTCTCTACTTCGTATTCTTAGAAACCAGCCAATTGCAAATCTAAGTAATACATCAGTCGATACATTTTGCAAAGCTCACCGCATATATGCATTACCGAATTTTTGACACTTTGGAAGTCGGCAGGTCGTAGACCATTCAAGATTTAAATTTCAAAGCATCACTGTCACGTGACAGTCCATTAACGAGTTTAGCACGCATCCTTGGCAAATAATGAAGTCACCCATGTTTTCTTTCAGTCGTCGTTGGCGATCGGCTCTTCGTCTGTTTCTTCTTCCGATCCGGCCTCTTCGTTTTTCTGACTGGTCGAGAACCTTTTCCTGCACTTTAGTTCGCACTCTCTTATATCGAATCCGATGAATGGATGCAAAGCGTTCCGGAGGCTAGAAAAGAGTTGGGGAAACAGGATCTCCTGTTGAGTAAGTAGCTGTTTGATCCTTTGACGCTCCTTCGACAAATTGGGACTAGACGAATTGGAAGAAACTGGCAAGTTTTCGTTATTCGCCAGCTGTCGAAGGGATTTTTCACGAACGTACACCAACGGACGAATTACGCGCAGATCGTGCTCCCTAAAATAATAAAGGAATAATTGGCGTTCAGTTTTTGTACGATTTCTCTTGCATTTCCTTTATTTTAAAAATAAAAAGTTGCTAGTTTTGTGTGTCGGTTGACTTTCAAAACACAATTTTTTTACCCGTATAATTCTTATAGGATAAATTAATTTGAGTGTGTTTATATTTTCAGCAGTGAATCTGTGTACACTAAATTATCACTTCTATCAAAAAATTTAAGAATTACCATTACCCAAATTACCACCACTCTAAATGTTACTGCTGTTATAATTGCAATGGTCTTGCTTCTGTTTAATAAAAAACGACAGGTTAGTAAAGGAAACTTTTCAAATATTGCTTTTTGGAGGATAATAACAAAAATAATATCAATAAGAAGAAAGATGATACTAAAGTTAAAAATAATTTGAATAGAAGCAAAACTCACATCATTTCTTTATTGCAATAAGAATTCTGAATTAAATTATGATATGATATGATTCAGGTTTCCAAACACATAATTTTTTTTTTACCCTAGGATGTGTTTTGAACGTCAAAATCTCCCCTATCTGCCTTCAACATTTCTAATATCACCACTATAATTCCACTAATAACCAAAGGTTACCACTATACTTCCACGAATTACTAGGAATTACCAGTCTTCCTCTAATTCGTCCATTAATTACCATGCTGTGTACACTAAGTTTCACGTCACGTTTTCTTTATCAGTCAAACATATCGAAGTAATGACCAATGATTACCACAATGAAATAAATGCCTTTCGGTCTATATTAAAGTTAACGTTGATAAATATTTTTTACCTGTAGACAGTTAAATTTCTTTAAAAAGCTCAAAAAAGTAGTAACGATACTAGTTCTTCGAAGAAAGACAATATGAAAGAATATTATATTATTTGATAAAGACACGGTATTGTCGAAACAATTGTCATGTCAAAATATATAATTTCGTGAAAATCTGAACTTTTAGTTCTTATTGATTTTAATATTATATTATTATATTATACATGTACATTACTATTTACATTGTATTGTTAAAGCTAACTAATTTTGTGATGCACTAATTAAACTAACTAATTAAAATAAATTTTCGAAACGATGATAGACCAGGGAGATTTGGAACACAATTGTGCCGCCCTGTAAATTAAAATTAAAAAAAAGGATGTACAAAAATTTCTGATTTTGGATCAATCTTTAATATTTGTTGAAATATTAAGCAAATATTTGTAAAGCCCATAAAGTGGTAGTTTATGTCAAATGTCCAGAATGTTAAGTACAATCTTTTGTCTAATATTACCAGTCAAGTACCATTTGAGTCTGTACATTTCGTGGCTAGAAAAAAATAAATAAATAAAAAGGTAAACGATTTCCTAATAAGGAACTTCTATCTCGTAGAAATGTAATTTTTGGTTTCCAAAACGGACGAATAAATAAATTACATTATATTATTACTACCAAATTAATAATTGTACTATGTACAATTCAAAAACCCGTTACAGGGGTTCGAGGCGGATCAATAGATTTCAAAATATATAATATACTGCACAATTTGATTAAAAAAGCATAATTAACTTACTTAAGATAATAATGAGCTCTCATGGTCCTAAGCTTTCCTAAATGGAACGTTGACAGTAAAAAACATTCGCACAAATCGTCCAGATGCTGCCCTATGGCGAGCACATTGTACCCGGAACTCTTTGCGGCTGAATAAAGGCGGTGTCTCAGCGTCGAGTTACAAAAACTATATAGATTTTGTATGGATTCTTCTCTCGTTTCTGAATAAGATCATAAAAATGTTTACTATGCATTAGAGACGATATTGAGGCTTACTTACCGGTTTCAGCATCGGGGTCGCTCTTTTTGTCGTCAATTATGTAATGCACTCCTAGGGCCTTTAAATGCGGTATCAAAACACACGGATCACAGCCAGAAGCATCCGGATCCACTGTGATTGCCCCAATACTAAACAAAACCCCTTGGTTTTTTATATGGATTTGATATTGAAGGAGTGTATGAAGCAATCCTAGCGAGTCTTTGCCTCCAGAGAGGCAGACCATCACTTTGTCACCTGAAAGATGACGGTTGCGTTTCCCCTCGTTTACTGTGTACTATAAAAATTGCAACACCCAGTAAAGGCTTAGCTGTATTCATAGTTTACATGATCAGGGTTTTAAGAAGAACTAGTAATCATAATAATTATATGGGGTGGGTTTACCGAAGAATTAGGGTTTATAGGCATAGTATCAAGGAAAGGAACCAAGACTGGAATCTGGTTGTTTTCAGTAATGAGGCACGCTTTTGTTTTTAAGCTCACAATAGTTAAAAGATTGACCCTCAATCCTACATTAATAACATTTTGCAACCTATAGCGTTGCCCTCTCTTTAACATGCCACACAATGGCAGATGACATATACCCGTTGCAATAACAAGAAAGTTTGTCAGTGAAACAAAAATGTAACCAGTCTTTCTTAATCTAAATAAATCACTATTATAGAACGAAATAACGAAAACTTAAATTTTTTGTGTGTATTAAAATGGAAAGAGTTCTAAAACTGTATTTTTTATTGAAACATGCCTTTATTACCTAGATATCATTAATCTGTTAAAATCTTAAAAAAAAATCCAAGTTTTCATGTCGATATGTCAAAAACTGCTTGACAATTTCGAGAACTAAACATAACAACACTCTGTATCTCTCCAATGAGTGATATTTTCCAAAAGCATGTTTAGCTCAATACCATTATTTTCACGAGTATATCCTAACATTGCTTTTTGGCGCTTTCATTCATCTTTTCAAGTTGACTTAGATATAAACTGAATGGTGTAAAACAAATGAAATGCATATATCAAAAACAACATAGAAATAAATATAGTAAATATTTTTTTTTACTCCCGTCTGTAAAATACCTAATAACGCACAGATCAAACGTGCGGGAAGCGTCACTTTACCTCGTCAGTTTAGTTTCCCACGAATCCGGGCCACTTCGAACATTTCCAGTATTTACCGCACGTGTTTGGGAGCAATCGGATGTTTTCGGATATATTTCCCACACTTTGAATTTTGAAGTTTGTTAATTCTGACAGTGATGTCAGTAAATGTATTCGTGTTGTTTTGCGAAAATGTACCCAAAAACTAACGGTCGTAAAAAAAGTATCGTATGCAACGCGTTCGGTAAACTTTTTAACACACTCGTTTATTAAACACTCGCTCCGTTCGTGTCAAATAAACTCGTGATTCAAATGCCGTTTATCGTAATTGTTGCATAATGTACTATAATTGCACCAACAAAGCATACCATGCTTAATTAATTAATTTTTTGTGTTTCGTAAAAATTGTACTCTAAAAAAAAACTTCTGGAACACCAAATAATTCATGTCAGAATTGCAAAATGAAAAAAGTTAATCAACGAAGTCCACTGATGCACTGATAGATTTCGGGTATTATTTCTAGGTTTATATAAGGGAATATGACTTAATAGTTGGTTAGTTAATGGTGTAGCGGTAATATATCATATGATCTGCCATGCGCTGGTTAGATCGTGTTTTTAGTGATATTTCTTTAAATATTTCTTTTATTTAATTAATTGACTTTATCAAAAATCAGTTTACCTTGATCTCAATGACCGTTGTAATTTGTGTATTATTAAAAGTAGTGGAAGCTGGAAAGACCAACTACGCTGTTGGTCTCTAAAGAATCTAAAAATGCTTACCAATCATACCATACCATTGTTTGGATTGTTTCTTCGATTATTTTTATGTAGTTTGTCAGGATAGACCTAATTTCATACATATGTTTTAGTGTGTGGACATGCCCTGAACATCTTTGCAATTCCGAGGAATTTTAACAAATTTCAGTAGTTGCTCACACAATAAAAGATATTGAGCCACGTTGATTAAACAATAAATGTAAACCACATTAAAGCAATAGAAGAAAGAATCAAAACGGTGAACACTTTACGATAGTTTGCAGACTATTGGTGAAACATTTTTAATAATATAGAAATTGGAACGGTCGTTGAGATCAAAGCAAAACGATCTTTAAAAATCTAAATTAATTTCGGTATTTAAAAAAAACTACTACTAAAATCGCAAGCTAACTCGCGCGACCAACGACATAGTAGGAAACACTCGATTGACTCACGACGGTGTTTAATGAACCTTTTAGAGTGACACCTTGAGTACGCGTGATCATGGTATAATTGGATCAGAACTGGCAAACGTCAAAATATTATGGCTAAAATCTTCCGAAAACATCCAAACGCTCTGCAACACTGGAGTAAAATACTAACAGCGACCAGAGGCAGCAACACTTTTGTACGCTTGAGAGTAGTGAGTAAAAATAAAACAATCGTTTTGGGCCAAAAAAGGAAGAGACCAAATTAACTCCAAATTGAATAAGACTTTTAAAAATATACATTTTTTAAGGAGATCAGTGGCTTGTTCGTCTTTCTAAATATATCTTGAAGCACAAAATATGTGACGCTTAATTTCTAGGACTAAAAGTTGTATGTTTGCAAATGTTGACGACTATTCTTCACATTCTTCCCAGTTACTCTTCCAAATATTAGATTTAATGGATGTTGCAATTTCTATCTCACACATTTACAAAGAAAACAATTTTTAAGTTTATTTATTATTATTTATAAATAAATCTTACCATCTTTTATCATTTTATATTCTGTTATGGCCTCGACGGCGGACTTCCATAGGGTCTTTTCGGAACAGATCCAAGGTCGTGAAATCAGCCTTTCCAAATTTTGGGCGTCGTCGCTCATGTCCCTGTGGATCGTCGGCCTATGCTTTTGCAAAGTGGAAAATCTAATGTCCGATTCGGATTTTCTGTGGCCCCTCGAATCGGATTGACTTCTGCCCTTAAACTCGCTATTTTGGTTTCCGTCTTGTTCATGGAACGACATGTTTATGCCGCTATCTTGTGAACTGACACTGGCAACCGTCGATGACGACAAAATTTTGCTCTTGTTCCCGTTGTCGTTTAGGAGCTGATCCCCTGTCGGTTTCGTCGATCCAGGGCCGGACTCTATCAGTTGTATCACCGTTTCACTGCTACTGCCCGGCGTGTGATACGTATCTCGATTTTCGCACGACGTCTCCTCGCAGTCGTCATTCTTTGCATACGTTAACTGATTGCAGTCAGGAGTTATGAAGACATCTACGGCGCTAACTACGTCCCTAATTTCAGACTTTACTTCGTTCGCCATTTCAATGGAGATTTTTTCCAAATATTCGGCTACTTCGTTGGCCGAAATCGAATCGCTTCGCCCGTCTTCGCTACCGCTTCCTGAAAATTTACGGACTATTTAATTCAACTTTTTTTTTTAACGGTTGAAAGTGTTTTCACTCACCATTGCGTTCGCACAGGAACGCGCTACTGTCAATACTGTCGGTATTTTCGAGAACGTCCTCGACTTTGGATATCACTTCCCTAATTTCAGACTTTATATTTGTGGCAAGTTCTTTGGTCATTTCGGTGACGTAAGTTTGGAGATCGGGAGCAGGCGATGCCCGACCCAATTGCTGACTATATTCGAAGGAACTGTTGGGAAGAAGACTTAGACTATGCGTTGGTGACAAATTCGCCTCCGATTCCAAGGAATGTGTGTCGTTCTGACTACTGTAACTTAACTGACGTTGCCTGATCGGAGCCGCCATCCCCAAACTAACGCGCGTCGATGGACTTAGAACGGGAGGTGAAACGTTGGGATGACCCAAGCTCAAGCATCTGGAAATCAAACTAAAATGTTACGACGTAAATCTAGATAATCAAGCGACACCACGAACCTATCTCTGGCAAATGACTGCTGGTGAAGATGTAGGTTGGCGGAATTGACAGCTTCCCCGACAGCAAAATTGACTGTCGGTTGTGACATCTGAGGGTAATAGAGACCGTTCACATCCTGCAGAAAGTATGGCACTGGGGACGAGCACGTTAGAATTCTAGGATCGTCGATCGACGGTAAACTGTAATGTCTCGGAGATTCGCCGCAATTAGACAAATTGTGAGTCCGAGGTGTGGAGGTCTGCTGCTGAGGATTCTCCTCATACCTCTCCGTTTTTCTACCGTTGCTGCAGAAGCTGGGGTCGAAGGGCACTTTCTGTTTCACGTTTTGAGCGTTGCTGGTGAGCAAACTTTGTGCTTCGTGTTGTAACATAAACCATCTGCAAGTATATGATTTTAATTTACTATATATACTTATTTATACAGTATGTAAGTCATATCTATAACGGTACATTTAAACACCTCGAATTCTCTATGCCAATCCTAAAATTCACGTAAAGTCTGTTCATAGATATAAGAAAGTGACTAACTGATACGAATTAAGGAGAGACCCGGGCAAGCTGTAAGAATGAATTATGGCCGGACAGGTCCGTACTTTGTTTAGAATTTAATTATTTGGGGTTTTGTTAGGCAAGATACTAAACAATATTTATTTATTTATGTATGTATTTATGTTTAAATCTAAAATAAAATTACAAATTATTTTTATTACCTACTTAAATTACTTCAAATTACTCACATAATATATCAGTATCACTATCGCTATCATCGCCTGTTCTAGTTATTATTCGTTCTATATTATTTGCAATATGCATATACGATTGTTGTGCTTTTTCTATATGTTTAACAGAATTTGCCGAACTTTGTGGAGGGATGTTAAAAACTTCGGTTTCTATAAGTTTGAAGACATTGGAGTTAACACGGCGAAAAACATTGTTACGACGAATGGCAGATTTCAGTTTGTGCCAATCATGTTCAATGGGATTAAATATACAGTGGTAAGGTGAAAACCTTAAAGCTGTATGCCCTAGATTTTTTGCATAATTATCACAGACGTATTCCTTTTGTAGGTCCAACCTAAATTAATTGCTTTTTGGTATAATTTTCGTGAAAATAAATGTCGTTATTATACTTGTAGTTTTGGATTGTTGCCTTTGTGTCACATAAGGAAGGGGTTTTAGTCAACTCTCTACTGTGATAACTTGTATTGTCCATTACAATGACGCTGTTAGGAGGAATGTTTGGAACTAGTTTGTTTTTATACCAACTTTCGAATAAATCAGCGGTGGTGTCTTCATGGTAATCCAGAGAAGAATCTTTAATATTTTTCGCAGACAGAGAAAGTCCATTTGGAATCCAACCGTCTTTAGAGCCAGCATGCAAAATAGTTATTCTTTTACCTCTTTTTGATGACGCGTTTGTTTGATACTTGTCAGTTGAGTCAACCCAACCCTCTTCCGGAATATCATACGTGTCGAACCAGGTTTCATCCAAGTAAATAATTGGTATTTGTTGTTCTCTGTAAATCCTATTTTTTTCTAGATATTCCAGTCGCCATTTCTGAAGTCTAAAAGATTCCATTAAAACATGCCTTTTGTCAATTTTTTTAAATCTAAAACCCCTGTGTTGAATACACTTCCATAAGGTAGTTCTGCCACATTTTGCGCAGTATTATATCTTGATCACATTCATCTACACTCAAGAAAACGTTAGCATCACTTCTTGTTTTCCTCGCTGAAATGGGATTATTCACAATTTTCCATACAGTTGATGTTGGATTTTCGTCAATGTGGCTGTTTCTTCTAAAGATGCTTGCTTGCTGGCACCACGTTCAATGAGAGTCAAATAAACATTGTTTATAACTTCCTTAATCTCAATAGAATAGTGTTTTCTACATTTGGGTGGGAGCATCTCCTGAGATACACTAGACTCGCACATATTTTGCATAATTCGCACACGATTCAACACACGTTGTATTACAGACGAAATAAGAATGATTACTAATAACCTTAAACTAAGTAGCATACCAAACCAAAGAATATTAAACACAGGTAGGTATAAAATTATTTTCTCTTACGGACCAGAATTTTAGCTCAATTTAAATTCCGAAACTTTAGGTAATAATCTTGTTGCATTGTATGTTAATGACCACCCTTGGATAATCCCATTCACAAGCAATTGGTAATTTTTTTATATCTATGAACAGACCATACCTCAGTTTCTCTGCTCTAGCGTCAAAAGAAATTCCTTGATCCTGATAAGGAATCTTGTTGGCAGTTTTTCTAGCTCGATTGAACAGGTTTCTGGCGGTTTGAAGACATTCGGAGTAATTTTGAGGGAACAACCCCGGTCCCGATATTCTCCTTTCGTTCATCGTCATTTTGCCTTCAACATATCTGAAACGGTAGGCAAATGTATCATATTTCACAGTCTTACAGAGAACAAGACATATGCCATGTGGTTACACTAGAGCCTACCTTATTGAAGAAAGCCATTTTCGGTCTCTATGAATACCGTTTGTGTGGTGACGCCATTCACCGGTTTCGAGGTCCACGACATATTGCGGCAGAAGTTTCCAACCTTCCGTGGCCACCATTTTAACGGCTTCCATTATGAAAGCCAGTTCAGCATCGTTTATAAAATACGGAAGACTTATTCTTGTAAATCCGGGTCGTAAGAGTTCTAAAGTGGAGTTTTCTGCGCCCAGATTCAAACTGCTCAAGCGTCTGAATAGAAAAAATTCAATTGGATGCAAATTCTAATTTTTTATCTTCAAGAACAAAGATCAAAATGTTACGCCAATATAAATATTGCACAAATTCTTGTCCATTACCCTTCCATTGTCATAATTCATAATTTTGTGATATTTACCATGCCAGATTATATATAAAATCAACACTGATACGGCCTACCATAAACATATTCTTAATTTGCCATTTATGAAGGCATGATGGTAAAGTCCAGTCAGAGCAATGGTGCTGTTACATCATAGCATTATCTAGTGCATTACTGGATGTCGTAAATTGACACATGAGTTTTGTTTATCAGTTTCGAAATCGTTATTTATGGTTATGGTAACAATATAGCTAAGAGATACGAATCGTTTTTGTTTCAGTCACTACTGGTCTGACTGGAGCACATATGTATTTAGATTTTATGTGAATTACAATTGGATTTTCATTATCAATATTCTGCATCATTTCCTGAGCTGGCAAATAGTTTTTATTGCGGTTGATATTTAACATATGTAGCGGGAGATTATGCATTTGCGTCACCTGCTAATTTAAACTCTCGTTCTGCATCAATTTAAGTGCCTATACCATAAACTCATAGAAATTAATAAAATCTTTTTCTCTCTTTAAATGTTGTCAAGAGCAACGGCAGAACTTAAACGTAAACTCAAATAGATCCAAAATACTACTGGAACATTTTTTTGGAAATCGGGAAATCACCGGGTCTCTAAATTTTTTATTGTTATTGTATATAGAGTGTATAAAGGTGTATCAAACTTTGAATTTTTTTCCGAAAGTACAGTTTAGTTGAGCCTCAGTTTCTTATAAATTTTATAAAATCCATAAAGGCTTTAATAACCTTGAGGTTCTACTCGAGCCATTTAAAACTATTTAGTTATACATTTAAACAGTTCTAGATGAAACGCTTTTTTGAATATTAAATTCGTTGTAACACCTTCTCTGTTCTGTGTTTTTAGTTATTAATCTGGATTTTTTAGATGGAATGCTATGGTGACTATTAATTTCATTGTAACACGTTTGCGGTTATTAATTTGAGCATCTCTAGATGAAACACTATTTCGATTTGTTATCTTTTCTTTTTAAGACGTTCTCAATTATAAACTTTAGCACTTCTAGATGAAACGCTATCTTGAGTATTAATTTCGTCGTAGTATTTTGACTATTAAATTCACTGTAACACGTTTTCAGGTATAAATCTTAGCACCCCTATATGAAAAACTATATGGACAATTACTGTGGCTATTAAATTCATTGTAACACCTCCTCGGTAATAAATCTGAACGTCACTATATGAAACACTATTTTGACTTTTGTTTTCAATTTACTGCGTTTTTAGTTATTAATCTGGGTTTCTCTAGATGGAACGCTATGTTAACTATCAATTTCATCGTAGCACGTTTGCGGTTATTTGACTATTAAATTCATTGTAACGCGTTTCCAGGTATAAAACTTAGCATCCCTATATGAAAAATTATTTGGCCTATTATTGGGACTATTAAATTCATTGTTACACATTCTCGGTTATAAATCTCAGGATCACTATATGAAACACTGTTTTAATCGTTATTTTAATTTTACTGCGTGTTTAGTTATTAATGTGAGTTTTTCTAGATGGAACCTTATGTTGGCTATTACTTTCATGGTAGCTGAGCGGTTCTAGATGAAACGCTATTTTGACTGATAAATACATTGTAACAGGTTTCCACGTATAAATCTTAGCATCCACATGTGAAAAACTATTTGGACTATTATTGTGACTATTAAATTCGTTGTAACACGTTCTCGGTTATAAATCTGAGCAATCACTATATGAAATACTATTTCAACTATTGTTTTCATTTTATTGCGTTTTAATTAGTAGCACTTTTGCGGTTATTAATTTGAGCATCCCTTAATAAAACAGTATTTTGATTTATTATCTTTCCTTTTTAACACGTTTTGAAGTATAAATCTTAACAGTTCTAAATGAAACGCTATGTTGACATTATTTTCATTTCACCATCTTTTAGTTATAAATCTGAGCAACTCTACTTTGAATATGATTTTCATTTTAGCAGGTTTCTCGTTATAGATCTGAGCAGTTCTAGATGAAACGCTCTTTTGACTATTAATTTTATCGTAGCCAGTTTACATTTAAAAATCTGAGCAGCCCCTAGATGAATCACTTTGGTTATTATTTTCATAACATTACGTTTTGAGTTATAAATCTGAGCAGTTTTACACGAAACCCTATCTTGACTATTAAATTAATTGTATAGTGTTTATAAATCTGATCATGTGTATAGAAAACACTATTTTACCTATTATTTTCATTTCACTACGTTTTTAATTAAAAACAATCTGGGCAGTTCTAGATGAAACACTATATTGCCTATTAGCTTTTAATTATAAATAAGTTAATACGCTAATAAGTTCTACACGAAACTTTGATTGTTAATTTTATTGTAGGAAATTTTCAGTTATAAATCTGAGTACCCTTAAATGAAACGCTATATTGAGTATGATTTTAATTTTAGCATTTCAGCTGTGAATCTGTACAATTCCAGATGAAACGCTACTTTGGCTATTACTTCCACCACAATTCTAATTATTCTGGCCTATTGTCGCAGTAGCGCGAACTTAATAAATAAAGTTAATTTTTGCACCCGTTATGATCCATTTAATTTTTATAATATTATTAACTTACCTATCCTCCAACATTATATTTTCGTACTGATCGGCGAGACTTTGATCGATACCCAGCATATCTTGGGCGTATACACCGGAACACGGACATCCCGCTCTCACTTGAATTCCGAATACGTCGTTAAGAACCGCACATACAAAGTTGTGATGCAAAAAGGAACCCCTCGGATGTCTCACCATAAAGGAAAATACCGAGACGCGTTTCAAATTCGGAGAATTGCTTCCCAGTAAGATGATTTCGGGGATGGTCCTTATATGCTGCAGCATTTGCCTAAAAACCAGGACTACAATAGCACCTAACAGTCGAAAAAAATTTACTCAGATTTTAATGAAATCGGTTTGAAAATAGAGGTTGAAATTTATTTTACAATACCTACTAAAAGTCTAAAATGTAAAATCGGTTTATTCTTTACTGAATTGTCAATTTTAAATAACTTAACTTCCTTGGAAGATATGAACAATTGATTTGCAACAGTACTTCAATCTGAATTCACCCAACGAACGGATGACGTCCCGCAACCAAATTTTAGCAAATATAACCATATGTATTTAAAAAAAGAATTTAAAAATGAAGAAATAACTCGCAGAAAATAATTTTTCGGACTCCGGACTTTGCGCATCCTAAAATATAAGTTACCTTACCATAAGGTGGTAAGTCTTTAGTCCATAACATTGATCTTAGAGTTTACTTTATTTCAATATTAGCTAAGCGTTCTTTAGTTTTAGGCAACGAACATGCGCTAGATTTATTGGTAGATTGGTAGTCTAACTGTTTACAGCCCATTATTTCACCGGAGTATGATATACCTAATTGAATATATATATATATATATATATGCTCATATATGCTCATCTAGCTAAGAGACTGTTTGATCTCTACTCGTTTAGAAACTCATAACTTTAGAAACGCAAATCAGAAAAACAATAATTTCAAAATTAAATTCCAATACCAGTACGGACAGAAGTAATTTTCTTATAGACAATGTAATTATTAAGGAATATAAAAGGTCATACGAACTAGGGTCCGAAACGTATTAGTTTTTTGTAAATATTTTCGAAACACATAAACATTTTTAAATAAAATTTGGTAAAGTTACTAAACTTTTTAAGCTGTATTTAACGAGCTAAAACTTAGTATTGATCTTTAGGGGTCGAATTTTCGTAATTTAGACTGCAAAATTTGAAAATATGAAATTTTCTAAATAAATAAGGCACCCTTATCGTACCTCGCTGGAACACACCGTTCTCAAGAAGTGCTTTAGAAAATTTATTTGCAAATTTGTTTTTGTTTTTTTATTTCAATGCTTACAATCGAGGTGCAGATAATCATTAGTAAGCCTTTGGAAGCTAATGACGCGTTTCATTTGTTTGTGTTGCTGGGTAAATAAAAGTTAAATGTCAATTATTCGACAGATTTCAATTTTGTCCATTGTTGATAAAAAATAGTGTTTTAGTTCGTTAAATAAAGCCTAAAATTTTATTTAAAAATGTTTACGTGTTTCGAAAATATTTACAAAAAATCGCCTTCACCCCTTCAAATTTAACACCCTCTATGTTAAAAACTAAGACGTTTTGGACCCCCATTTATATGAATTTTTATCCCTATTTTGTATTTATTTACAACCCACATAATTCTTATTTAAAAAAAAATCATCATCCTTTTTGGGCTATAGGAATTAAATTTTGAGTTTATCGCTTTTTCTGTATCAAGAGAAGTTTCCTATTCCAAACCTACGAGCGAAAAGTTAAAAAAAAAATAGATGGTGGATAGATAGTGAATGATTGTTTGGCGAAAAAATTTACAACATGAATAAATCTTATAATAACTCATAAAATGCATTCAAACTGTTAATTTAACATATATTTCTATGGCATGGGTAGAAGAAAAGATACCGGAAATTGGAAAATGGGTTTAATACTACCACTGCACAAAAAAGGAGATAACAAGAACTGCAACAATTATAGAGGATTACCACTGCTATGTATACCATTGAAACTGTTTGAGAAAAGTAGAACTAACTCTAACAGAAACGTAAAGTGGATTCTGGAAACGCAAAAGCACCCAGGATCACGTGTTCACTTTAAAAGAAGTAATTTCGAAAAAATTTAAAATGGTATAACGATCATAGCAGGAACCTCGAAGGATCTGGAGGAGAATCTAAACAATTGGGATCAGATACTAACGAGAAACGGAATAATAATGAACATAAATAAAACCAAAGTTAAGGCAGTGTCAAACGAAAAAGAGAAATTAGAGATGAGAATACGTGAGACACTAATAGAACAAGTTAGTATCTTCCAGTACTTGGGAATTATGTTCGAAGAAACAGGAGGACAGGATACAGAATTAAATAATAGAATAGAAAAGGCAAATACTGTGCATTGACTAAGGGGCTCATAAATAAAAATGAAATTTCCAAAGAAACTAAAATAAAAGTTTACAATAGTATATTATGCAACAAGTGCGGTAAACGGCATTTGACTCGCTAGTTTATTTAACACGAGCGGAGCGAGTGTTCAATAAACCAGTGACTTAAAAAGTTTATCGAACCTGTTGCATATTATACTTTTTCTACGACCGTTTGTTTTTGGTTATATTTTCGCCTAACGATTGCTCGCAAACCCGTGCGGTAAAACCCCGGAAATGTCCGAAGTGGATCGGATCCATGGCAAACGAAACTGACGTGGTAAAGTGGTGCTTCCCGCACTCTAGATCGGTGTGTAATTAGGTATTTTACAGACGGGAGTAAAAAAACAATTTACAGACCAATCCTTACATAGCGCTCCGAGTCTTGGATATAGTCAGACAAGGACAAGAGCAAAATTAGAGCAGCAGATATGATATGCTTGAGAGGAGTGAAAGGAATAACAAGAAGGGACAAAATTAAGAAATAAGATAAGAGTTAAAGCTGGAATCCATAAATAATTCATAGAAAAGAAACAACTTGGCTGCTGGGGCCATTTACAGAGATTGAGCAGCACTGTACCGGTTAAAAGAGTTGGGCAGAGTAAAATGAAGGCAAAGCAGAAAAGAGGAAGACCCAGAGCAACGTGGGACACCACATTGGGAAAGATTTTGAAAAAGAGGGGACGAACATGGGTAAAAGCTAAAAAATTGGCACTAAATAGAAAAGACTGGAAACTTTTAATATATAGTTAACTAAATTGCATGCAGAAATGTCACCCTTACTCCCTAGGGTAGAAAGGGATTAGATTTTATTATACATATATTTCTGCATCTCCGCCTTTTTTATTCAACTACGCGCGTTCACAAACTAGTAAATCTCAATTCCAGTTCTTTTTGACATACGAGATACAAATTACAGCGGCTATGCTTGTCGTCAGCAGGTATTAACAAGTGATACCGAGTGCAGTGGGGATCAGTAATATTTCGACTTTAATGCCCGCGGAAGTATCATAATAAAAGGTGCACTCGCATCTAGTTAAGTGACCATTTATTTAATAATTTAGGTGAAGAAGACAGATTAACTACTCGACCCGGGAAATCCGAGGATAAAGATAAATTGTTAAATTATTAGTAACTTCAATTTCATCTAAAATCAATAAAACAATTTTTTCAGAATGTCACTTATGAGTTAACATTTTACCGGAACTGGAATTAAGCAGATTAAAATTTTCTACTCAAAAAATATTTAAGCAAATCATCGAAGTGCTGGAACATTAACATCCGAAGGTGGTATATTTAGAATTGTGTTTTGCCACAACGCAGCATGTAAATCATACCGGAAACCATTGTTTAAAAACGTTTATTTTGAATCGGCACTTTAATGGCCGTTTTTACGACAAAAACAAAACAGCCATGAAATATTTATTACACGTTTCCAAGTTTGCCCAATTACAAAAACGAGTAACTAGCTTCGTACTATTGCGATTAAAAAGTGGCTGTTTAATATATAAATTATACATACAAATTAATTAAAGTAATATCTTCTAGTGGCCGACGCGTTTTTACAATTAACCAGAAAAGCTAAATGGATGTCGTTGCCACAGTATTTATTTTACTAAAAACATCAATGAATAAAGTAGGTACCTGTTGATTTTTTCCTGCCTTTGCTGTATGTTTGCAGCGGAAACGGTCTCCTTAAGCTGCATTATCAGACCGAATCTTATCGATTCTACTACGGCTGCGCAATTGCCTTCTTCTTGCAATTCGAAACCCTAGAAAGAGGAAGTGATTAATTACGGAAAAATGTCCGGAACGAATTTTCAATTTGTTTGAAACGAACCGCGTTGACTTTCCGCTGAGAAGTTTAATATGATTACAAAAAAAATATTAAAGTTTATTCGTCGTTGAAGGTCAAACAAGTTTACGTTCGAATGAGAAATTAATATTAACCGGGCTCCGATTCCTTTTCTGCCCCTCAGATCTAGGACTTGGACCCTGTTTGGGCCAACGAACATGTGTAATAATGGTGGATTAAAAATAAATAAATGAAAGCAATAAAACAGGGATATATCGTTTATGTGATCACAGAAGAAGCTTAACACACAGATAGCAATCGAAATGTTAAATAATAGAAAAGATCACTGTACCGTGCGTTCAATTTATCTTGATAACATTGTAATGGGCTGTAACTCTTTTGTTTTTGTAGAAATCAAGGTAAACAAAAAACAACATGTAAGGTTACTAGCCAAGTTGTTTTCCAAATGACGTATAAAACAAAACTATCAATTTTCTGACATATAAGCTCACATTCCATTTTTTTAATAGAGCACCGCCTATGATGTAACACAGTTTATTTTTTAGTAGACTCGTTTTTGACAATAATTATTTACAAATTAAAACACAGAACAAATCCTTTGCGAAGTTCCACGACATTATTACAAGGAGTTCTGTGCACGTGATTTGTTATGTGTCCCCAAAAGAAAAAACCTATTAAAGCTACGTTGGGGCTGGTGGCTGGCCAATCTATAGTTCCGCCGTTCCTTATCCAACCCCTCCATCTTAAGAAAATTTTTAACCTGCACAACATTGTGAGGAGGGGCACCGTCTTGCTGCCATATAATCATATATTTAGGGGTAAATCTTCGATATATTCTTGTATTTGTTACTCTAAGAGATGCAAAAAATGATCTCCAGTTAATTTTTGATCTATAAATAATCTGTGACACCACATCATACATTAATTGATTAATACCACTGGGTTTTTATTTCGTGTATTTGTCTAGAATTATTTAAAGACCAATATCGCGTATTTTATTTATTACACCCCTTCTTCTACACTTAATTTTGAAGTTTTACCATATATTCTTTCAAAACTGAGTGGATTGATCTCCGAGAAATACCTGTCTCCGCATATACTCTAGTAATAGAGGAAACGGGATGTGCTTCATAGAATCCTAATATGTTTGCCTTATTTTCTTCATTTAAAACATTATGATTCCGGCATACCTTTTTACCATTTAATACGTTACCGTTTGCTGCAAATTTTTTTGTCAGCCTTGAAAATATCTGTTTTGAAGAAGCTCGGCGCTCTGGATAAAGTCTAATATACGGCCGTGCCTCACACGATCGCAAGCTTTGTTGTAATCCACAAAACAGACGAAAAAATCGTGGTTTACATCCAAACATATTTGCATTAAAACATTCAGGGCCAATAATGCTTTCCTTGTTCCCGTTGCATTCCTGAACCCAAACTGGCTAATATCTTCTTCAAGTTTGTTACTTTCGAAAATCGATGAAATCGAATTTTTCGAAAGTATCTGCGTTCGTATAAAAATTTTATATCCTGGTAACGGTAGGTCCTAAGGGATCGCCGTTGGTACAGAAATGATCACCGTCGAAAAAAAATTTTTTTTGTCTGTTTGTCCGTTCTCCGTTCTCGTTTTTTGGTTTTTCCTGAATAACTTTCGAACCGTTGGAGCTACAAAATTGAAATTTGCGTCCTTCATAATCTTCCACATAAGCTTATAAGAAATGGCCCTGATCCGACGCCGGTATCCATCTTTTTTTTCGCGATTTTCGACTGTTTTTTGGGCATTGCTATGAAACACTAAGTGTCCGAAATTTGAAGCAATCGACTTCATATTTGGCACATCTATGCAGCTTTGCCCCGTGACGGTACCTATTAAAAATGGGGGGCTGGGGGGTCGGGAAGTATTTAAGAAAAAATCGCATGTGCAAGGGTCTACATAAAAGAAAAAATTCTTGAACCAGAAGAAGCAGGGGAAACGACTCCATAAACTTTTATTATTGACAATTTTTCAAAAATATACAGGGTGCGCCGCTAATTCAAAAAAAATGAAAAATTGGTCCCCCTATTATTGAAAATTGGCAATAATTTCAAATCTTTGTTTTAGATGTCAGTTTCTTTTACATGACGATATAGGCCCTTATAGACAGCTTAAACTTTTGTATTTACAGTTTTTAAGTATTGGACAGGGTGTTCGCGATATTCCGTGCAATATTAAAAAAACATAATAAGCAGTCCAAATTTGCAGCTACCGATTTCAGACTTGGGAGATATCTAGAAGTCTGGACCCTTTAAATTGGGAGCAATAAGTAAGTAAGCGCGAAGTACTTTTTTTTGTGATTATTTTGGCATCCAGAAAAACATCTATTCCTCCAAAGCCATGTCCAAGTCCATGTTATGGACAAAAATCTAAAAGACCCTGAAAATTGTTCTTTTAGAGAGTAAATTATTAACCGTAAACCAAAATTCGTACAAACAATAGCTAATCCGTTCAAACGGTGTTATAGGCCGTACCTAGAGCTACAATTTTTGTATTTACGGTTTTCGTCTATCACATACGCTGTTCGGGTTATTTGAAAAAATCCAAATGAAAATCACCATTTCTCGCCCTCAATCTAGACTCGATGACGTCATTTACTATTACCACGTATTGCTATTACATGGTTTCAGAAAACAAGCAGTTTTTTTAAAACCATTGACTCTATTGGAAAAATTCGGATACCAGGAAACTAAGGAGATACAGGGCTATATCCTCTATTTAGAACATTGTTGGAATTATATACAGAGTACGTAGTGTGTGGCCAAGACATTCTAATAGATCCTAGAAATTTCCGCTTTTGTGGGAAAATTATTGGCGATAAATGAAAAACCGTTAAAGATGGGATAATTTTATTTGAACAGTATCATAAAACGTGTGGTGGGAGATTTTCAGGTTTCGTCAATAATACAGGGCGCGAAATATTTACAAAAATGTCATTCGAGAACGCTATTACTGGTGCAAATTTTAATATTTACCGATGTTTGCTGCATGTGTACATGCACAATTAAATTACATCGATTTTGCGAAAGTTCCATAGTGTTCCGCAGAAGCACGATAGAAAAACAATGCGTCCCTTTATCTCACGAAACCGCGAAGTTCTTTCCTTTCATAATAAAAAGCTGCTTCGTGCTACGCGCTACAAACTTGCCTCGCCCAGTGACGATTTTTCGAAAGCAATCTTGTTATATACAAGCTTGTGGATTATTTTTAAAAACATCTTTAGGATGTGGCACATCAGACTTATGATTCTGTGATTCGGATTTTTCGGAATAGCTACAAATGTTGATAAAAGCCATTCGTTTGGGATTATGCCCATTTTGTAAACGGTACTAAGGAGGTTCGATCAATAAGTTTAAAATTCTCTAAAAATATCTGATCAGGTGCGGATAACTTGCTTTTCATATTCTTTATGGTACTCAAGACATCCACATTAGTAATATCCGGACCTATGTCACCTGTTTGTTCCAGATTTTGTTGCCTTGTGTCTGCAAAGAGTTTCTCTATATATTTTTCCAACCGTTTCAGTTTACTTGATATGTCCCTCTTTATCTCTGAGTCTTGTCTCTGTCGTTGTTTGCCTGATAGTTCCTTTACTTTTTTGTTGACATTAAAGATATCGTGTTTTTCTTGAACTTCATCGATCTCAGTGCATTTTTCACCATAATACGCTTTCTTAGGCAATCTGACCTTGTTTCTTATTAGTTTATGTGTTTCTTTATATTTATTTGGAGAATTATTTATCTCAACTTAAATAATATTTCTTTTTGTGGGGATATGTTAAAGAAGGTGTTTATATCTGTTTATGTTCAACTATTAAGTTGAAGAATTTCAAAACAAATGCACACAAAAATGCATTTATAAAAATGTAGGTCTTATTCGCTTGAGCCATCCTGTATACTTTAACATAATTTTAAATTGTGCATCCTAACAATCTTAACAACTTTTGTAGATACCATTTTCTGATAACTTTAAAAACCAGTGAGATAAAGACCCTATTATGCAACAAGTTTATCGACGCGTTGCATACTATACTTTTACTGAATGATGTCAACAAACGTCAAAATTCAAGGCGTTGCAAAATCATCTCGATCGGTGTATAATTGGGTATTTTAAAGAATGGAGAAGAAAAATACATCTAAAACTACGTCTCACCTTATTATGTTCATGGGAAGCAAAGAATCCGTCTGGCTCGCACGTGTTTATTCTGCGGAACACCACTTTTTTTGCAATTAGTATACCTACAATTAAATAACCAAATTCATGAAAGCACATACATACCGACCAGAATATCATTTTAAAGTATTTTTGAATAAAGCATAGCGTAATATTTTTTGCATTATTATTTTTCAATTAATGCGAAACGTTAAATCAAATCAAGCAAGTTCTTTAAGGCCTAAGGCGCGTTGACAGATCTTCGGAATACTTCGATCGAATTTTTTAGTTGCCCGATCAAAAGGTGGATAATGCGCGGTATCGCTTATAAATAAGTGTGTACACAAGTAAGTGTATAGTATATTATGCAATAAGTACGGTAAACAGCATTTGACTTACGAGTTTATTTGACACGAGCGGAGCGTATTTTGACTTAAAAAGTTTACCAAACGTGTTGCATACTATACTTTTCCTACGACCGTTAGTTTTTGGGCACATTTTCGAAAAACTACACGAATACATTCACTGATATGACGGTCAGAACTGCCAAACATCAAAAACAAACGGTCGTAGAAAAAGTATAGCATGTAACACGTTCGGTGAACTTTTTAACTCACTTGTTTATTAAAAACCCGCCCTGCTCGTGTCAAATAAACTCGTGAGTCAAATGCCGTTTACCGCACTTGTTGCATAATATACTATTACATACGGGAGTAGAAAAAGTATTTTTACGCGAGAAGTTTCCTAAAATCTTGGCGACATGCGCACCGCAAAGTACTGAGATAAAATATTTATTTCACAAATTCAAAGCAAATTTAGTTCAGTTAAGTTGGAAAGTTATAACAGGGACAGAAGAAAAATTTTTGCTTTTTTTCTAATAAATCTATTTTAAAAAATGGATATCACGATTTGATAAAATACCCTGTGTAATTTGGATGAACTCTCAGTTCTAGATCTTTCCATTTTAAAACAAAATTTCGACATTGTTAAAAAAATGCAATTTGTTGCTCTACAGTTTCAATCTTACCCCAACATAAAAGTTCAGGCAAGCAACAAATCAATATGATAATAAGAAAGCAAGTAACATAGGGCAAACAGCTCACCTGGGGTCTGAACACCTCCCACAAACTTATGTCCGCTAAAATAAATAGCGTCTTTATTCGCTAAATTATCTTCAACCCCTTGCACCGATGGATTCATGTCAATATGTATGCTAGGTGCGGCCATATTGTAATCCCAGAAGGCCAGCGCTCCATATTGATGAAGTAAAATCGTACATGCGACATCGTCTATAAGTATGCCGGTAACATTGGAGGCCACCGAAAAACAGCCTATCAATTGTCTCCCGCAATTTTGATGCAGTCTTAATTGATTTTCGAGATCATTAAAGTCCAAAAGCCCTTCTTTAGTTTCAGCTATTCGCACAAACTAGAAAAAAAAAATAGGAGGCAACATAAGTACAAAGTTGGCAAAAAATGAGTATAAAAGTAAAAGTCAATAAGTAATACTTATATATTTTTCATTGCCACGCTTATATGAAACAGTCTGTATAACTGAAAATATTTTTTGATTTTATATTTTTTTAAGGTTCCTGACCGCATGCACTGAATCCAACGAAATAAAATTTTCCTGAGTATTGGGGCATATAAAACTTTTTTTATTAAGCAAATATTACGCACGATTGCCAACGATAGATGGTACAAAAAGGAAGCGACAATATATACTCTTTTTTGTTATATTAATAATTTTTATCTTATTGCATCATAGTTTGCCGAAATACAATGAAAACAATATCTCTCGGCAGAATACCTAACATTTTTTCCCAAAACGTAAGTAATGTTTACTGAATAAAGAAAGTTCCATATTACCAATTGACCAGAAAAACTTCTAACTTCTGATTTTGGGCAACATCTATTGTTTGTTCAAAACGGTAGAATTACATCGACACTCATTGCCTCGAATTTTATTTTTAAATTAAAATTAGTTGGGTCCTCAGGTAAGTAAAAGGTTATTATCTAATTTGTTAATTGTATTTTTTCGATAAGTCAAAGTATTTTTTTAACTACGTGGGCCTTCATATTGCTAATTTGGAATACTATAAATGATGAATATTCCAAATTGATTTTTATTTTTGTTTTAGCCATGCCACCCAAGAAATCTCCTAAACAGAGACAGAACTGGAATCCACACTGGCAGTAAGGCAGAAAAAATGGGTTACCTTAAGGCATCCATAAACTTTAAGGTACCAAGAACCACATTCAGTTGCTGAAAAGGACATCAACTGAACAGTAAAAATATTGGGTGAAAACCTGTTTTTAATAAATATTTTGAATAAGCAAAGCACATGCGTCTAGTTGGATTCATAATTTATTTACAGAGTGGTTTAAGTCCTTTATTGAATATAATAACCCAGTATCTAGTTTTTGAAGGGCACCAAAAACAGAGTTACCTACGTAACCCTAATTCGCTACGCTCTCATTGGATTCAGCCTTTGGACAGATCAATTATGGGACCTTCAGAGAGAAATTATGGTGAGGAGGTACGCATATGGCTTCGCTTTTGACTGAAAATGACATTGTCGGCAGTGTTAAAGTGGAAGGCATGCCTTTAGTAAGGCAGATTGCTTTGCGGCGAAGCAGGAAGAACAATTTCAAAACGGTACAGTTTAACAATTAAACAAAAGTGATATACGTTGATGAAGGTGAACCATCAAGGGAGCTAAAATTATGCGATGAAGTAGAAACCGAAGTAGAACAATCTACAGAACAAGGAATCCCGGGTCAATCTTCAAAGAACGTTGTTTTAATACAGCAGTCTACTTAATTTTCTGTTTTAATAAATGTTTGGTTACTTGTTAACAATGTTTCATTTATCTCATGAATAAAAAACATGCGCTGCTATTTTGGAATATTCCAAATTGATGGTATTCCAAATTACCTTCAAGTTACGTGGACAGGGATTTTTGACACTTTTTTTGTCATTATTGAAAAAATCCTTTTAACTTTTTTTAAATACTTTAACATTTTCGTATGACATAGTATAGATGTATATCTAAGACAAATAATGTATTTTAAACCAAATAATCAACATTTCAATTTTTTGCAATTTTTTTTTAAACCACCATTCCAGAAAAGCTTCATTTCCTCTAAAAAATAAGAAAGATACAGTTTATCCACTTTGGTGGAGAGTAATAATATCCTTAAGCATCGCTCGGACTGCATGACAGGTTTTAGACGAATAATCACAGAACAAGATTCTTATTGCTGTTTGTTGAACTTAGTATAAGGTTCAGAAAGTTATTTTGGGAATATGCAATCTGTTTATTACCAACTGTTAGTTTAAAAAATGTGTAGGTATCAATTTTTTATGAACAAATATTTCCTCGTACATAGGTACGTACGAATTCGATTATCTTTTTTTACTTTCAACTTGATTAGATTTAACTAGAACATTTGTTTCTAGTCTAGACTAATGCACATTTATTCATTTAAAAAATATACTAACGCAAATATTCAAAATACTGTATATAAAAAATGCCGAATTATTTGATTTGATAATTAAAACTACCATATAATATTTTGAAAGCAAATTTTCAATAATTACCAAGAAAAAAATTGATTTTAACCCAGAATGAAAATTACCTTTCAAAAAATATATTCATATTTTTCTCGAGTCGTATTCTAAATTCGGATATTGGTACAAAATATCTTTTATTTTTTCGTGAGCAAAATATTAAGTGTGCTATACTTTTAGAAAAATAATTTTGATCATTCGAAAATATATAAAACACCTGCCAACTTTAAAACGGCATATATTAATCCATGTTACGTTTTTATACTTTGCATGCGTCCATTTCTCTTAGAAAACGAAGCTTATCTTTAAAAGTGCCCAATTCGGCTCACCCTGTATAGAAAATCATATTTATGAAAGTGGCTATAAGTAACATAACATATCCTTTGCCCGACAACATACGCAGACAACCAGAGAATTTACGCCCCAGATAATAAATTCGCTCTTAATAATGTGTTCTTTTCACGGTACGTGCAATATTAAATTTCTCTATCCACTTGGAGAAAAATCATTATATTCAATTAACCGCTCGCTATCAATTGGGATTCAATTAGCGTTGAAATGCGCTTGAAACGAAAGCGGAATATGTCACAGATAATTTGAACTCCATTATATCCGCAATCAATTTGGACGCAGAGAGACGCATCGAGTTGGAAATTATTAGCGAATCCAAAATCCGCTAATCCATAATTGACAACCGGTAATAATTTAGTGTCTACGTGAAAGCTCATACGATCGTACCAAATTGTAAAAGTAATGTTTTTGGGCTTCGTCATTCGGTAATCTTATAATCGAACAACAGAGTTAAAAATGTAATTGATCGATGACCCCATTCTATTTTTCTGCACGCCGCAGGCAGACACAAAAAGAAACTTGCACGCGATTTGCAATGCAAAATATTCGTCTGGCTCTTTGCCTAATCAGTTTCAGGAAACAACGAACTACAATCAATAAATACGAGACGTTTCGAAGTAATAAGTATGGTTTGCAGAAATCGCGGATAAAAATGAAAATCCTGGGAATTAACAAAGAGCAATTAAACTGAAACAGCAACGAATAAAGTTATAAATAATGGCGTGATTAATCCTATTGTACCCAAGATGCAAGTTATCATTAACCAACTCATAGCATAACATTTAAAAAAATGTAATTAGTGTTCAAAAATAAGTAACAGTTAAATTTTATGAAGAATCATATTTTACTTGTTAAGGGAGAGTCTCGATCAAAGTGGTCACTATCAATTCCTGGAAATTATTTTCATCGTGAATAAGAAAAACGGGATTTTAACAAAATTTTGCATAGGTAACACAAAAGAAATAATTGCATCAGAATATGCGGCAAATTTAAAGTTTATTTTTATTTCGATCATTTTGTCCACTTTTCCTAAAGCAGGGGGAGAAGCTTGGGTCTGTGTTTATTTCAATAAGGTAGTAGAAATCAAACAGGTCTCACAACTTTAATTTAAAAAAAGTATTTTCAAAAATTTTGAATACAACAGACCCTTCTGAGAAAATGTGAGAAAGAAACAATAAATTTGTTATGATAATGGATAATAATATAGTGTCCTATCAATTACTAATCATGAGAGTCGGAGAAAAGTGACTTTTAAAGTATGGCAACTAATAAAATTACAGCTGACATTATAACTAACAATTTTAATCTAATGACCAGATGCCGTTTAAAGTATTACTTTAAATTCTGCCTGGTCATCTGATGCCCTCACATCTAATCTGTTACTAAGGCTCCATCGTTATCAAAGCAAAATTAATTGTTTCTCTGCTAAATTTTCATAAATTTATATTTAGGTAGAATTTAGTTAAGGGCGTTTTTTCCAATTTATTCCAGTATTTTCGGTTTAAAAAAAGATATCGATATACGATTCTCTCTGATTTTTTAAACTTCTATTCGTCTTTACTATTTGCTAAAATTGCACATATTAATTTGTTTGACAAACTCGCAATCTTTGTTATTGTTATTGTTATTAATATTTCATACGAAGCTAAAACATATTTCTGAAAAATGTTTTTTTTAAATAGTTGTTTGGACGTAACTGTGAAAATATATGCTTATATGCTTTTTAATACATAGTTAAGATTAAGACATGGGAAGTTCTCAAAGCACAATTCAATTACATCAAAGTTACTTACTTTTTGTAACTCTTAACCATCAGTTCTCAGTTTCTCTCAGAAAATATTTCACTCATTGAAACTCACCTTACAGGGTCCACCCTAATATCAAAAATGATATCGCACTCGTAATTTTTTTTCAATTGTGAAAACTAGTATTTTTTTAGAAAAATTAAAACATTGGAAAAATATAAGGTTTAGGTCTGTATTAACATTAATAAAAAAAGGTGAAGAATTTTAAAAGAAATTCAAAACAAAATTTTAAAAAATGTATGTTTTATTCATCACGCTTTTTGGGCGACCTTGTGTACTTTAAAATAATTTTAAACAATGCAAACCATCTTTAAAATTTTTGTATTTACCATTTTTTCATAACTTTTGAAACCAATGATATAATAAACTTTACTCTATAGTTGACTCACCCTGTACTCATCAGTTGAATTTCCTAACAAAGAACGACTTTCTTTAATATTAATATGGAACAGAATTTTCCAGGTAAACTTAATCACGGAATCTCAAGTCAACTTTCAAAGGAAATTTTTAAACAATTATAGGCAGTTAGGTAATCCAAATTCAGGTGGGAATTTTCCAAAAACATTTTGATGTGAACTATTTTAATTGCACCTTTATCGTTTATCCAATTGTGATAGACAGTAAAAGGATTTCGACTTTCCAAAGTAATTATTTATTTGTGTATGTTTAGGTAAATAAAGACAAACCTTGGTATTTATT